CACCGGCCCTGAAGTCAGGAGGACCCGAGTTCAAATCCAGCCTCAGACCAATCACTCGACACTTACTAGCTATGTAACCCTCAGCAAGTCACTTAACCCCAATTGCCTAAAAACCAAAAAAAAAAAAAAAAAAAAAAAAAGAATCCAGAAGAACAATCCTCATCTTTGTCAAGAGTGGATGAAAGGCCTAGAAGCAGCTTGTGTAAAATCTCATTTCTTGCTAATATTTTAAGAGCAAGAACGCTCTCCCCACCCCACTCCTCATCTCTGTCCCACTTACAGTTGAAAGGAGATAGGCCTTTTGAGGTCCCTGATGCTGAGACTGCTATCTACCTAAGCCCCACTTGAGAATACTACCTTTTAGCTGACTGTCCCAGCTCAGCCTTAAAACTAAGAATTACTCAGGGTCAATGAGGCACAGGGAGGTATAAGGAGCAGGGGGTCCTTCTGTAATGTAGGATCTTTTCCTAAACAGAGGGAGCTAGGACTTTAGCTTTGGCCTTTGGACATAACCTAGCTAGCAGGGATAGCAGGAGGGTAGGTCTTATGCTCTCTGGAATGGGAGGTGATGGAGAAAGAATTCTCCCATTCATCTGTCCATAATCAATTACCCCCCCACCCCCATATTTCCCACTGCAGGTGACAAGGAATGTGAACAGGCAGTGATTGACTTTGTGGCTTTCCAGAACATTTCACTGAAGAGACTGATGAGGCTGCAGCAGGCCCTGGAGGCCCCTGGTAGCTGGCATAGGCAGTGGCCGGAGCCGGAGAGCCGGGCTGCTGTGCAGAAGGAGCTACTGCACAGGTTAACTGAACTCAGTGAGACCCAGGGATCTTCAGGCCTTCTACTCCAGGTGCTACAGGCTCTTCGAAAAGCTAAGCTGACCACCTTGGAGAGGAATATTCAGAAGCATTTTGTCCTTGACCAGAAAGACTAGACCACCTCCACACCTAGATTTGCCCAGGGTTCCATTAGGCCAGCTCCCCTCTGGGAGGCTAGGCCCTGGAGCCAAGTGTCCTGGGGCTCACATCACTGGTGCCATCTCTCCTCTGGAGAAAGCCAACAGGCAGTGTACCTTCTGGGCCTCCCACTCTTTGGGCTTATTTATTTCACAGCTAGGTGGCGCAGTAGATAGAGTGCTGGGCCTGGAGTCAGGAAGACTCATTTTCCACAGTTCAAATCTGCCCTCAGATAGATACTTAATACCTGTGTGACCCTAGGCAAGTCACTTAACCCTGTTCGACTCAGTTTCCTAATCTGGAAAGGAAATGGCAAACTACTCCAGTATTGTTGCCAAGAAAACCCCAAATGGGTTCATAAAGAATCAGACATGACTGAAAAATAACTGAACAATTTCCATTTCCGTCAGCCCTCTATTTTCAGAGGTCCCAGTACCCCAACTTCACCAAGGCAAATGTGGAGCTAATGGGACTTTTATCATGATGAAAAATTATTTTTTATAAAACCATTTTGTAAGCTCACTTTTGTGCCCATTTCTAGTGCATAGCACAGTGCTTGGCACATGGTAGGGGATTAATAAATGTTTGTTGACTGAGTGACTGTTTCAAACCCGTCTTGAGCAGAAGACAGTGAAGATCCATATCCCTAGTCAAACTTACCTCTTTTTGTAAGTTTTACCTGATTGATACCACCAGGACTCTCACTGTTTGTTAGGTATTAGCCCTATAGTGTATGATTCTCACTTATTCATGTACTTTTTTAGAAGTGTTTTTAAATCTTTGTGAAAGTGGTTCCAATTTTCTCTCCTTGGGTTTCTCTAGAGTCCCAAGAATGCAGGAACCTGGTCTGCAGACAGAGAGTTCCCTGAAGAAGCTCTGTCACACACACACGCACACACGTTTTTCAGTGTACTGACATACAAGTCCCTGTTCTCCAACAGCTGTTATCCTAATAAAAGACGTAATACCTAAATGCACCATTGGGAAGGACAGGTCAAAAAGTTGTGTTAAAAAGTTGGTGAATTGGCTTGAAGACTCCCTAGAGGAAGTGGACATTACCTGCGATTCAGAAGACAGGGGTGTGGTCTGGGACAGTCTTTTGTAAAAGTAGGCACACAGGAAAAGTAGCTAGGAGGGAGTAGAAACCTCAACCCTGGAGGGTCCTTCCTTCTCAGCTTTGGGACCATATTGGGGGTGAGGAAGAAATGCTTGGCTTTTCTTAAAGCCCTCCAGCTATGTTCCATTTCCCTAGGCTTTGTTTCCTGGGAAGATGAGGAATCTGTGGTCACTTACAGATGACAACTCCCTCTCTTAAGGCTGGCTTTTTCCATGTGAGTTCCTATGGTCTGAGGACCCCAGGGCTTCTCCGGTGGGGCTAGTGCATGTCTGACTGACACCTCTGCTCTTTTCCCTCACCCAGCCTGGCAACCTCCTAAGACCACAGAGGCCCAAGCCCAGCCACTCAGTTATACAGTGTAGTTTGGGAGAGACTGAGGTACAAAAGGAAGTGGAAAACTAAAGCACAGAGAGGGAACTGAGAGGTGGGAAGAAACTGAAGGAACATAGGAGTGTTGGCCTTAAGGGCACAGTGAAAGGTGTGAGTTGTGAGGGAACTGAAAGAGGGAGAAAACTGAAGGACAAGCAGAGGCAGAGAAGGGGTGGGTAGTAGAAGGGGTTCAAGTATAGAAAGGTGGGAGTGAGGTTTTATCTCTTGCTGCTCCCTTTCTATCAGTATTCTATCAATACTTTCTATCCTTTTCCTTCTGGTAATTTCCCTCCTGAGCTACTCCTCAGGATTTCAAATTCCCTTTCAATCAACTGTACTCCACTTCCTAGAAAGAGAAAGAAGGGCCACCTTTTCTAGGATCATTCTCTCTTTTGGCACATAATTCTTCTCTTCTTCCCCTCCCCCCCACCTCATTTTGGTTCTCATGCTCCCACAGGACAAACATCTCCTGAAGGCAGTGGGTCTGGGCCTGAAGCCAACTACCCAGTGCTTCTTAGGGGTGGGAGTAGCGATAGATAAGAAAACTGGTTGAGGTCTAAGTGTGTAGCCTGACCTCACCAGCATCATGTCAGATTCTCATCCCATGTCTGTGCCAATGCCAGCCCCTCCCTCCCTTGGTGGTGAAATTAGGGGATTTCCTAGCACTGGAAGAAATAGCAATACCAATTTGCAAGAGTCCTCTGCCCTTTTCAGAAATTTCTGCTTCTGGCAGGTCTTTCACCTTTGACCCCCTCCCAGAGTTCTCATTCCCACATGCTTTCTGGGAAACTGTAGCTTTTCCTCAATAGCTCTGGTTTGACTGGTTTGACAGATCTTTTTGTCCCAGACCTGGGGGAGGGGAATCCAGAAGGAGGCAAGAGATTTAGCTCTGGACAAGAGGAGTAGCTGACCGAGAGCACAGTCCATGGATGATGCCTTGTTCCTTTCCTAGAGCTTTCTCCCCAGATAGCCTAGGTTCTTCCTGCAGTTTGACTAAATATTTGAAAGAAGTAACATCTCAGGCTCCTTCATGCCCTAGAGGCCTTGGAAGAATTGAAGTGGCCAGCTCAGGAGAAATCCTCATCCTGATGCCTGCCACAGGGAGGTGGGCAGTTATTTTCTTTCTGCAGTTTTCTTTCCAGTGACTCACTCAGTGTGACAAGTGATTCTCTCAAGTTGTGAATTTGTTTGCTGGAAAATGTTTCCAAAACCCCTGTCTGATGGGTTAAAGTTGAACTCAAGAAGTGTCAAGGGGGCAACAGGGAGGCAAGAGATGCAGCTCTGCTGGATCTCAATTCCACGAACAACTGAGTGGGAACACATTTCTGTAGAGTTCTGAGACAGGTGGGCAAGGAATCAGTCTCCTAGAGAGAGGGGAAAGAGAAAATGCCCCACCCCCACTGTGTTTCTTGGCCTGGGGAAGCTAGGTGGCCCAGTGGAGAGTTCCTGGCCTGAAGTCAGGAAGAGCTGAGTTCAAATCCAGTCTCAGACACCTACTAGCAGTGTGACCCTGGGCAAGTTACTTCATCCTGTTCGCCTCAGTTTCAACATTATCTTTCTCCCCAAATCCTCCTCTCTTCCTGCCTTCCCTGTTGCTGTCAAGGGCATGACCATCTTTTCAGTCACCCAAGTACACAACCTAGGTGTCATCCTCAACTCCTCACTTACTCCTAGTCACCCCCAGCCTCAATATCTAATCTGCTGCTAAACCATATCAATACTACTTTTGCTCCATCTTTGTGTATCTATCACTCCTCTAAAACCGCCACCATCCTAGTGCAGGTTCCTATCAATTCTGGCCTGGACTGTTACAACAGCCTCCTGGTTGGTCTCCCTACCATGAGTATCTCCCCACTCTGCTCTCATATTGATCTTAACTAAAATACATTTCTGACCATGTCAAGATGCTATTCAATCAACTCCAGTGTTTCCCTATTGCCTCCAAGAGCAAATATAAAATCCTCCATTCGGCATTCAAAGTCCTTCATAACCAGACCCCTTTCTACGGTTTACTGTCTTATTACACCTTCATCTCCTACATACTCTGCAACCCAGTGACTCTGACTTCCTTGCACAAGACATTTCATCTTCCTGTTCAGTACATTTTCACTGGCTCTCATGCCTAGGATTCTCTCCTTACTTACTTCTGCTTCCTGGCTTCCTTTAAATCTCAGCTAAAATCCCACCTTCTGTAAAAGATATCAAACTTATTTTATATACATAGTTTGTAGATATAGTTGTTTGAATGTTGTTTTCCTCCCATTAGATTTCAAACTCAAGAGCCGGGACTGTTTTTACCTTTTTTTTTAATCCTCAATGCTTAGCAGAGTGTCTGACATAGTAGGCACTTAATAAATGCTTTTTGACTTGAGGCAGGAAAGAGTTCCAGGAACTCTCCCTCATACCCTACACCTTTTTGAGCTAGGAACCAAAGGCACACCATTAAGACTAGTACTTAGGAGAAAAATCATTTGCATAAAATCCAAATAAGCAACCATACTGTATTCAGGAAGCCTGGCACAAACCCGTACCCAGGAAGGACCAGAACAGCTCATATTCCTGATCAGATTTTTATTTTTCCAAACACAGAGAATCACTAGGGATTAAAGACAATTGGAACACCTCAAGAGTGGTGGCCAACAATCAGTGGCCAGACCCCTGCCTGCTTAGTGGTCAAGATGAAGGTGTCAGTGGGCAGGGAGAATATGGCTCTGTGACCACAAGCACTTAAGCCTAAGGCTGGACAAATAAGCATCCAGCCAAACTTCTGCTAAATACTGCTGGGGAATGGATATCAGCACACTGGGAACCATCACTGATCTCTCAATCGTTAAGTCAAGAGTAGCTGCTGTGTGAAAGAACTAAGTCCTCAGAGATACTAGGGTCAGATCTTTTTTCAATTTTTCCTTAAGCCAGTTACAGTTGCCTGGATAACTATGACCAAAAAGCTACAGTTGTGAGGGCCTCAGGGCAAAGAGGCTCCATCAGGTACTCTAAAAGAGTCCAAGTTTTCATAAATTAGAACAGGACCAAAACAGGGGATAGGGAGTTCCAACCCAGCAGCTGCAAAGGCTAGGCTGGAATTTCCAAAGGAAGAGAGGATGTTTATGCTATGGAGTTGCTATTTGGTTTGGATTAGTCCAAGAATCAAGGAGTGGGATGGGGTAAGTGGCAAGGGGGAGAATCCTAAAATATTTTGAGGAAAACTAGAAAGTCCTCAGTAATAGCCATATTAGAGAGGCTTCTCCACTGAGTCACAAGTCTCATTTCATCAAAGCAAGGAGGTATTTAATGGGAAACATGGATATTTAGACTTTGGTAGAAGGATGATTTAGAGTTTTTACCCAGCCATGCTTCAGGACAAGCCTCAAACTGCCATCTCTTTGGCCAAAGCAAACAAAGTGTGAAGCACTTTCCTCTCATCTTGATAGGTCCTGATTCTGAAGCCTGATCCTGACCCTAACTCTAATGCTGACCCTCTTTTAACCTACATTGAGCTGGAGCTGCTGAGCCATACCACTACTGGACTGGCTATAGAAGCCAAATCTATAGGAATCCTCTGGATCTCTGAAGCAGTGGGATTTGGAGTATGGAGGATAGAGCAGATACAGTGCTTCACAGATCTCTCTAACCTCAACTGAACCGTTGGCGTTGCTTCTTACTAATGGACAGAAGCCCCACAGAATATATCCTATCCCATTCCCTCCCAACTCACCCAGGGTTCACTGTACAAAAAAGAAGAAATGTAGCACATTTAACTTTGCCAGATCTATTTATAAAGGGGATTTCTGCACAAGCATATTCTCTCATTACCATGTAACGTGAAGAACATGATGTTCCAACAGGGGCAAACATGACCTAAAGACAAACATGAAGTATGTCAAACTCCTCCCTCAAAGGAAACGTAAAAGAACAAATCCTACTTTGGTTTTTGGAGTGTGCTTACTTTCAGTTTGGGCAGCTTTCTCCCCACTCAGGATCTCAAAGTTCTTAGTAAACATTAACTCTCTCATCACCAATCTGCAAAGAAGTTACAGATAACTGGCCCTCCCTGGGCCAGATCATAACCCCCTCTATGACAGAGAAACCTTACATCAGAGGGAATTTTTCCCAAGATCATGCAGGGATGTTATAGGATCTCGGAACCATGTTTCTTTTCCTCTGACTCAGTTCAAGAAGTAGCAGCTACAGAGATCACTCAATTAGCATCAGAACTGAAGGAAAATATTCAGTTCAAAATCCTTAAACTACAAGGAAAGGGAAGCAGGTAAAGTTTTGCTTCTTCCTGATTCTATACGCTAACTTTTCTAAATTAAAAAGCAAAGAAGCCTATAGACTGCAGCTTGGAGATGTGCTTATCTTGCACTGGATTCTAAAGGAAGTAAATCACAAGAGAAACAGACCCTAGTGGATAATAGACAGTAGGCTGGGGTTTGAATTGGCTTAATTCAGACATACTTCATGCCTGTAGCTTGCAGATTGCCCAACAGGTCCATTGTGGCCAAGGCCATACCCTGTAAGGACTGACTATAGGTCACTGCCCACCCCTTTACTTTACCCTATAAATGGTCTACATGTAGCAAAATAAATTAAGAGAGAATGTTGACTGAAATCTACCGGGGCATAGTACTGACCCAGCCTGATGCACAACTTAGTATTCAGGCTACAGAGGCAGAGACCCCACAAAGTAGGAAGCAAGAGCCTACGTCGCCTTGTCCTTGGCTTTCCTATATCAGCCCTCTTTCTGCACCTTTTTGGGAGGCTAAAATCAGCTGTAATAAAGGTAACCAATGGCATTACGCTACTTGCTCATCTTCTCTATTCAAGCCGCCACATAAGTCTAGCCTGAGAAGAAAGAAAAACTTCTCCCTAAGTACCTGCTTGCCTTCCATTTCCCTGCAGACATTCTAAGAGTGACACCCAAGAGGTTGACTTCTCAGCTGGACCTGGAAGTATGAGAGAAGGGCAGCTTTGTGGTTCTGCCACTGTTAATACAAGTTCTAGGCAAGTGGCTCCATAAGTTATCAGCTCTTATGCCAACAGCTAGCTGCCCAAGCCCTCTTATAAGAGGCTCTAAGGGATCACACTAAGGGATACCTCCAGAGTAAAGTCAAAACCCTCAGAATGAGAAAAGCATTAACAACAGGAAGATAGGGAGGCTGGCCAACCTAGGCTGATTCTAGTTGGCACTACTGATCCTCAGCTGCTTCAGGTCTTACAAAGAAAAACTGTGACAGACACTCAAGGTCAGTCAGCTGGCTAGGATAGCTTTCCATCTAAGCTTTCTATGAAACTCTAGGAAGGATTTCCTATCTCTCACTGCTTTTGCTATGGGCAACACTGCAATTTGGTCAATGACCTGGATTTTCTGGAGCTAATTTCTATGTGGAAACAGCGAAGGCTGCTCTTCAACAACACCCACAATTCCTGGAAAACTCCACAACCATTTATGGCTTATGAGCCTGCACCTGGGCCAGGTTTGAACAAGTTATTTCAACTACCTATTCTGGACCCCAGGGTTGGGGCCCTAGAAGCCAAAGCAGGATTAAGAGTCGAATGCTGTTAGAGGTGAGCAGGTGGTATCTGCCGGAAAAGCAGCTGCAAAGAAGTGTCAACTGTTTTGGAACGGTTTTGGCTCAAAGTATCCAACCTTTTCCTTGGAGTCCATTTTTTATATATTACCTAGTACAGCTGCTATGAGCAGCAAAAAATGTGTCACCTCAGTGTGGGGCCTTATAACGAGGGTCACCTCTGCCTACTTTTGATGACAATGTTAGTGGTTCATCATCCTGTGACAGGCTGGGGAACCAAGCACAGGCCATTACCCTCAGGAAGGGGCAATGGGGAAGTTATTAGAAAATACAAGGATTTAAAGCCAAAGGGTAGCCGCTCCAGCCAGAACTCAGCCAAATAAACCTAAGAAAACTAGGGTTTCAGGGCAGATGAGAACCACTGCCTTATATGCCTATCACAACCCCTCATCAATACTCACACCACGGACTAGCCTGAGCCAGTTTTTCATGTTTGGTCTTAAAAGATGAAGGACTAAATTTAGGTCATTAACCAAAAATACTCCACCAGCTCCCCTGAGCAACTGAGGAGTATACGGCCACACCTCATGGTGGTATGGGTAAAGTCACTCATGACACCTGACAGTGCCTGTGCTCCAGGTGAAGTGTTGGTCCTCCATTTCCCATTCAGGAGGGTCTTGTGTTTGGTCATAGAGAAACTCTCCCCCAACATCCTCCCTTTTTTTCCCTCTCCAACCCCCAAGTAGAATCCTCAAGATGACTTTTTTTCTGGATGGAGATAAAAGTTTGTCTTAGGAAAAAACAAAAACAAAATAAAAAATCCAAATGAAAAGAATCCAATTGATGACAAGGTCCTGGCCCTGTTCCCTGGACAAGAAGGGTAGGTGGAATCTGCGCTGGGGGCAGCTGTCCAAGCACAGCAGCGGTGCTACTCCAGCCTTACGTGATGTCCTTCTGCCGTGGGGGGCGGTGGATATTCCTCACGACACACTTCACCATCCACTCGATGCCCTCATTCACCCCTTTGCTGAGAAAACAGCAGATATGAGGAAGTGGGTCCCCACAGTTCTTCAAAAGGTGTGAGAGATGGGGAAAAGTGGGAGCAGCCCTGGAGATGACTCCATGGTCTTTGGAGACAGGCCTGGGATAGCTCATAGTCAAGAAGGGATAGTGGCCACAGCTACAAGCTCCCTCTACAGACCTCATGCACGCTTACACATGACCGCACTGGAAGGGACTGGACCATATTTCCCTCCTGCCAGGTTATAAACATATCCTTGTTGACTCTCTATCCATTAAAGACTAGCAGCAGCTAGCTCCTGACTCTGAGCCAGTTCTGCCACGTAAGTCTCTGGTGCTTCTCCTCATAAAGCCATTTAAATGCGGTAGCAACAGCTGCAAGCATGCAGAAATACCCTGGGTACTAAGATGCTAAGAATACAAATCCTTCTCTGGTCACTGACAGTGTCTAGGTCTGGGTCATGAAAAAAACTGATCCTTTGGGATTCTGTAACGCCTGTTGAATATGGTCTACCGGCACCACAGAGGGTATGGTTAGGAAATACCCACTGGTAAGGCTGCTATGCCTCCCCACACTTACCCTGTGAGAGCTGAGCAAGCCTGTGTCAGGCAGTCTCTCTTTCCAATTTTATTAATGCAATCACTGAATGCAGTCTTGATGTCAGGGATGGATAAGCAGGTCTGATGAGAAAGGAAAGCGACAGAAACATTAAGAAGCTGATCTTTTGATCACAGCAGCCTCAGAGATGCCAACTGATTTGTCCTCAGATACTTCGTGACAGCTGGGAATAATGTGGCCACCTTTTAGAAGAATGTGTCCAAAAGAAAGGCAAAGTTACAAGGTCAACCTAGTGCTTACTGAATACCTAACTTCTTATCTCTGGCCTCTCTTTTCATTTATTCTGGGTCAGCAGGGCACATTGGTCACTCATCTTTAAAATAGAACCATTTAACTTCTCTGCCTGTGGCCCTCCACACAAATGGCAGATGGTAAAGGTAGGACTCATATGCACTATAAGAACAGCTTCTCTCATTTCATTCATCAACCAGAATGCCACCCATTTTCCAGGTGAGCATCCCTTTATTTCAGGTGTTAGGTGTCCCTCTCATTCATAAGACCCTGGCCCAAGGATCCTTCCTCCTCTCCAACAGGTAAAGAAGGGATTCTGGGCTGCAATCTGGGTTTATGTAAATATTTTGAAAACATCACACTGTCCCCATGATACTCTATAGTAAGGTTTAAAGAAAGGGAAAAAGCAAATAAGCATAGCAGGTAATTCAGAAAGGGATGAGACAAGTACAGCCACCAGCCTAGACCTCTCCAGCTGTCAGTAAGAGCCCAGCCTCACCATCAGCGAATCTCTTGAGACCTGATATTGGCAGGGGTGAGGGACCCATAGCTAATAAACAAAGCTAGGCAATTCTCTGAAGGAGACAAAAAAGGAGAGGAAAGTGAGGGAAGGGGAAAAAGGAGATTCAAAGTGAAAAGACCTAACAGAATAGGCATCAATTGTGCAAATTAAGAAAAATCAAACTCCTTTATAAACACTTGTCAAAACAGATTGCTCAACGCTCTCTAAAGATTCATTTGAGACCTCATGCATGTAAGGGGCTATTAAAACCTATTCCCAGAGCAATCTTCTCTCAAGAAGCTTCACTGCTTAACACACTTGAACTCAACCTTACATTATCTCCAGGGAATAAGTCAGAGATAAACCCTCCCTTTCAAAGATGAAGAAACTAAAGCAAAGATATTAAGGGAGTTGTGCAAGAAGGTCACACTACAAGCCAGAAAGAGCTACATATAGAATTCAAGATATAATCTTCCCATTTTATGACCCCCTTCTAGCACCTGCTCTTTCTCCAGTTCTGACAGAAATCAGCTCAGTCCTGTTGCCAATACTTCCTCCCCCTCACCCATTCTCTGACCCCCCCCAAAGAAATGACCACCTATTTACAACAAGCTGCACTGGGAACTTACATAAGAAGCAAGGGGCAGAAACTCAGATAGGAATGGGTGGGCAGACAATAAATAACATCTGACTAGCCCTAAGTGATGTCCCTGGGACCCTCCAGCATTAGTTTACTACCTCATAAAACTTATGAGATTCTTTGAAGTTTCCCACCATCCCAAAAACTGGTGAAAAAAATACGATATAAGACCCAGAAAAATACGAAAAAAAAAATTTACTATATGTAGTCAGAGCAAATGAAGATAATAAAACCATATTTCAGTCATAAAAATTGATGTGATTGAGAGGTAGGTATAACATGAGAACCTCTCAAATACCCAACAAATGAGTTCCTAGCCACTACTTTTTTTCTCAGCTTTCAGCAGAACTCTGTAAAACAGCAGAAGGTCTGAGGCTAGTCTCCTGTGTTTAGGAAGGGCACCAAGGCAGGAAGCTCTAATAGAATCACCTCTGGAAGGGTTTTCGTCTCATTTTCATGCAGTCATTTATCTAACCACTTGGGCACAGAAATGTTTTTCTTCTCCTATGCAGAAATTTCATTCCTTTCTCTGGAAACATCTCTTCTCTGCCATAATGAATTTAAGTTACAGGGACAAGAAGGAACACAACTGAAGGTCACTTTGGAGGCAGAAGGAGGGACTGAGGAGAAGCTACTTATCACTTGATACAGCATAGATGCCTGGAAGACAGGTGACTGAAACAAAGCCCTGCTTCCAGGAGACACCCCGGCTGCCTCAGTCTGTTCCAAGGCTCACCAACATAGGGCTTTGGAAATTATACAGCATAGAGCCAAGCCAGCCGGCTCGGCCCAGTTGGTGTTTAGAGGGAAATAGAATTCTAGGAAGAAGCTAGGAAATGAAGATTGACCCTTAACCAGAGATAACCAGTCTATTAGCCATCCCCCAGGAGATGTATAAAACATACAGGTCAGGAAAAAGAAATATTCTTCTGATATTCTGTGATCCTATGATACATACCGGCCCCAGGATGGTTGCTATTCCCCAAGGCAAGACATTTGATCACAATGAATCATAAAGGCTAAAACTTTAACTAAAGGATAAAAATGAGACAAGAAACCACAAGTCTAGTATTTATAAACAAAATAATCTGGGGACAGCAGCTTTCTGGACTCCCTAACATCTAAAGAGAAAATTCTTGGTATATTTAAAAGTCATCATACAAGCAAGCAGCCATCAACAATGAAGAATGAGCCAAGGGCCAACATTCATAACATGCCAACAACTGAAACACATGGGGCACATATTTCAATTCCTTTCTGCCTGTGGGTAGGGCTCACTAGAGGTATGAATGGCAGGGAAGAGAAAGGAAAGACAAGGAAAATAGATTTCAAAGGATCACAAATTTAGAATTGGAGAAGACCTCAGAGATCATCTGAGCCAACTAACTCTCTCCTTTTGCAGATGAAAAAACTGAGGCCCAGAATTAAGACAGTTTCTCAAGTTCACACAAATAGTAACAGAGTGGCTCTTGAACCCATGTCTTCTGACTACATATCTCATGCTCTTTCCACTGCACCTCCACCATGCTACTGCTGGTCCACAGTGAACTCTACCCTCCAAACAACAATAGGCTCCAGATGTGACTGGTAACAGGATGAATGGGAGTAGTGACCTACCAGCTCCTCTTTCTCCAGGGACTTACTTGGGAGGCTAAGATAACTTTTCTTTTTCAGTTCCCCCTTCTCTTCCACACTTCCTTAATTGCTTGGAGGTATGTTAAAGCTTAATGAACATTTAACACAAAGCAGTATATATAAGAATAAAGTATTTCTGTTAATGACAACAGTTCCTAATCTAATTTCCTTCACCAATTCCTAAATCTTCCTTCTGAAGATCTTTTCAAGATCTTCTTAAATCCAGTCTTCTCCAGAACTCCTGCCTCAGGGAAATTGAGGTAGTTATTTCCTCCAGTCCTAGTCCACCTAAGAAACCACAATGGTATTTGGGCGGGGGGGGGGGGGGGGGGAAGAGAAATTCACTTTAATCTCTTCAACACTAATAGAAAGATAAGTCCCAGTAAAATATCAGCTTCTGGAGGACCATCTTTATGTCAAATAGCCTACTTCGAGGTACCTGTTGGTGAAAGTCCATGGCCAAACTGTGAGGTAGAAATATAGAGTGTGAATTAATTTAGTGTATTAGAGGATGGAGGTAGCATGAAAGAAGAATGGGATTTATAGACACTGGTAAGTATGGATTCATCCTTTTTCTGAATAGCATCTTACGATAATGTCAATCTGCCTCCCTCCAGTGGGCAGAACATAGTCCTACATCTGGAGGTCAGACAGAAGAGAGAGATAAAGGACAAATACACTGAGTTCAGATCATCAGCTGACTCTCAAAAGGGAACCTCAGCTTAACTAATGGCTTGAAACTCTTCAAAGTACAAGAAGTTCTGCAGCTTCAAGTGTACATCTTCCAGATCCTTAGATGTAATGAAAAAGGGAAAGATGAGGACAACAGTCGCAGTGATGAAGCAATGAAAAGAAACCGGGTTCTGAAGAACAGAGGGAAAGAGCTTAAAGATGATTATTTTTTACCATAGCAAATTTAATAGCACTAAGCAGATGGAGAGTTAAAACCAGTCACAGATTAGTGGTCCTTAAGCACACTATTTTGACACAATATTGGGTGGTAGAGGAAGTAAAGAACTACAAGATCCAAAGTCCTGGAAGATACACTACCAAAAAGAAGGGCCTTAGACCTAAAGGGGTAAGTCATATGGAAGAGAACTGGCAGGGTTTGGGAACCTCACACAAAAGGTCTCAGATATAGACTACCACAGACACATTTCCTTGGGTCCTGAGCATAGTAGGTACTTACAACTCAAACCAAAATACCATCTATGCCAACCCATAAGACAAAAGATTCCCCACCTTTGCTTGCCTCTGGGGTTCAGAAAAGTCTTAAGTCCAGTTTTATCAAAGAAAGCAATCTAGGACAGAGTAAGAAGCAAGTGATCTCACCTCTACATCCTGCTTATTGGCCAGGACCAAGATAGGGACCCCCTCCAGGGCTTCACTGGTGATCATTTTCTCTGGGAGAAACAAAAATGATGAGTGATGAGCTCCCCTTGGGATAGAGGCATTAAGCTTTGTCAGGAATTTCATTTTCAAGACTCAGATAAACAGAATGGGTTCTTTTCATGGTCATAGTACCCAAATGAGTGGTCTCCACTTCATGCCTTCACTTCCTTCACACCCACTGTCTTGTCAAATTCCCCAATATGGCTTCCACCCCCATTAACCTACAAAATAGCCCTCTTTAAGGTCACCAATGACTACCTAATCATCACATGCAGTGGATTTTTCCTCAGACCTCATCCCATCCTCTTTAACCTGATCTGCAAGCCTACTGAAATTTCCTTCTTGAAACTGTTTCCTCATCTTTAGTCATGCTGCACAACACTGGTTCTCCTTCCATCACTCTGGTCTCTTCTTATTTTGCTGTCTCTTTCTCCTCAACTGGGCTACTCCCCAATATTCTGTCCCTGGTTCTCCCCTCTCTTCAGACTTTCCTCCAAAAGTTCTCATGCACTGTCACCTCCTTGCAGAATACTTTCAAATCTATGTGTCCAGTCCAAACCTCTATCCTGACCTTCAAACTATCATTTGCATCTACTTGCTGGAAATTTCCACCTGTATATCCTGGCTGGCACTTCAAATAAGCATGCTTAAGACTGTACTCACTTGCCCCACTTCTTTCATTAAAGGGGGACTCTCTTTCTGACTACTGTACTTGATTCCCTATTAGAATCACTCTCTTCTAATCACCCAAGATCAAAATCTTATAATCATATTTGAAGATTCTCTCTTTCTTATGCCCCATATCCAGTCAGATGCTAAGGCCTCTCAAATTTTCCTTTAAAATACTTTTCAAATCCATTCCTTCTACTCCTATTGTTGCTACTACTACAGCTTAGGCCCTTATTACAACAGCCTCCTCACCAACAGTCTCTCTCCACTCAAATCTATACTATTGCTACGGAAAAAACACCAGTCTGTGAATCAGACTTAGGATTGAGTCTCATCATCCTAGCTGGGAAAGCCTAGGTAAATCAATTCACCTTTCTGAGTCTGTTTCTTCATCTGTAAAAGAGACACTTGCACTACCTACTCCAAAGGAATAGTTCAAGGAAAATACTTCATAGACCTTAAAGCACTATGTGAATGATAGTTCTTCTTAGAGCACAACTCTGATGAACTAAATAAAATCTAAACTCCTCAGTAATCTGATATTCAAGGTCCTTCACAATCTGGCCTCAGACTATTTTTGCAGCCTCATTTCCCACTTATTCCCTTACACAAATTTCATGTTCCAGCAAAATAGACTGCTCACTTCTTCCCAGATCTGGTTTGTATGTTGTTTTTTTTCTCAAATGTTTCTCACAGCCTAGGATGGCCCTCCTCTCATTTCCATTTATAGAAATTCTACTCATTTTTTGAGGTCCAGTTCAAATGCTACTTCTCCAATGGAGCTTTCTCTGATTACCCCTCCTTCATCTAGCACTTTGCAGGTATTACCAATAAAGTACTTATATAATGCCTTGCATGTGGTTATTTGAGTTCATGCCCTATCTCCCTTACTAAATTCTACCTTATCTAGTACAGAAATTATGTCTCATTTATTTTTGCATTTGCCAGGCCAAGTCTTCCTGGCAGACTTGAATACAGCAGGCACACAATAAATGATTTTTGAATGAACAAAACCAAGGACCTCTTAGGTCAAAACCATAACTCACCAAATGCTCTCTTGGTTTCTGAGAGCCGCTCCTCATCTGTAGAATCAATGACATAGATGACCCCATGGGACTCAGCATAGTACTAGAATGACGGTAGAAGGGTTAACATCCAGGAGCAGCTTCAGTATATTCAGAGTACATTTTTTTAAAAAAATTATTTAAAAATTTATTTTTAGTTTTCAACATTCACTTCCACAAGATTTTGAGTTCTAATTTTCTCCCCATCTTGCCCCTCCCCCACCCCAATCTGTCATGCATTCTGAATACCCCTTCCCTTAATCAGACCTCCCTTCTATCACTACCTCTTTCTCTTATCCCCTTCCCCTTCTATTTTCCTGTACAGCAAGATAGATTTCTATACCCCATTGCCTGTATATCTTATTTCCCAGTTGCAAGTAAAAACAATTTAACATTTGTTTTTAAAACTTTGGGTTCCAAACTCTCTCCCTTCCTCCCTCCCCCCACCCTCATTGAGAAGACAAGCAATTCGATACAGGTTATACACGTGCAGTCATGCAAAAGACTTCCACAGTAGTTGTGAAAAACTAAATATATTTCCCTTCATCCTATCCCACCCTCTGTTTATTCTATTCTCTCTCTTGACCCTGCCCCTCCTCAGAAGTGTTTGTTTCTGATTACCCACCTCCCCCAATCTGCCCTCCCTTCTATCATGCTTCCCCCATTCCTTTCCCTCCATCAGAGCACATTTCAAAGATCAAAGAGAGAAAGAGAGAGGTGACAAACTGCTGGCACAGGACCTGGTATAAACAGGATTTTCTAAATTACTGTGATTGTCAGTTTTGCTTATTCTCAAGTGGAGATAGTTCATGGTATAAGAGAATGGGCAATGGGCAAACCTCCATGTTGGAAATGTTCTTCCTAGCCTAAAAGAAAATAATTCAAAAGGGTTTTTCATGTATTGTTTTATTCTACTTCCTATGTACCACTGGTAGAAGTCTTGGGATATACAAGTCCAAAATGCTTAATGCTTTGAAATGGGCCAGATACCCTACCTAGTCTTGTCTAACATAATAATAAGAAATCTTAACTGAATCCTTCCTCTGCAATCCAGTGTTGGTTGAGGCTGCCATAAAAATGGTCTTTTTATTAGTCCAAGCAAAAGCTTCTCTTTCGGGGAAATAACCATTATTGTAAGTAGACTGGAATTTTTTTGGCAGAACAGTCAGATTACGGGGGACATTTTGGGAAACATCAGAGCAAGGCACAGATTGGAAACTGGCACCTGGAAACTCCAGCTTGGACAAAAAAATACTAATAATATGTTTGAGCAGGTAGATTCCTAGGAGTTATTTGTAAAGCTTCTTCCTTTAAGAAGTCAAAATACTCATATTGTAAGGTAGGGAACATTAAATTACCAGAGGGCTAGCCCAATAGTCTACCTAGCTCAGAATCTAGTTTGTGATGGGGTTACCCAAGGAACATAGAGTTTCTAAGAATTTTGTGGAACTTTAAGCGTGAGCACAAGCCTGGAAAAAAAAGAAATAGTTCCTTTCTTACCTTGTCCCAGAGAGACTGCAATTCCTCCTGCCCTCCTAAATCCCAGAACATAAGTCGAGCTTTGCCCACATCAATAGTTCCAACTTCAAGAAAAGAAGAAAGGGGAAGAAAAGAGAAAATAAAGGTAAGTAAGATACAAGACTCCAGTCGCAGAAAGTTCATTTTCCCCAATCTCTCATCTGGAAGTGAAGCAAAATAACTTCACACTACTCTACAGAGTAGCAATCACTGAGATAAAGAAGGTACTTAAAGTAAAAAAACTGAATTTCTTAAGAGTTATCACACAAGAATATCAATGAATAATCTGCTACTCCCTGACTATCTCACTTAGGTCGCCATAAAGTACTATATCTATTTGTTTTTCTGATTCTGTAACCCAAAGAGATCCACTTACTATTCAGGCCCACTGTAGTGGTGATTTTGGATAAACTCATCCCTTTGTAGTTTCTGTTAAATCGGGTTTTCGTTTGCTCCAGGAAAGTCTAGGTAGATAGAAAAACAAACAAAAAATGCAAGTTTAAAATTGTCCAAAACGGAACAGGCTGCCTCAGAGAATATGAGTTCTCTGTCACCGGAAATCTTCAAGTAGAAGCTGAATGACACTTGTTAAGGATTTTGTTGATGGGATTCATGATTTCAGAAAGGGCTGGACTAGATGAGCTGATCTCATTTTCAGCTCCAAAATTCTGCTAGTTTCTACAATCCAGGAGCGGGTCATAGACAGCTCCTACCAACTCATGAGAGCTGACTATTAAATTTTCAGTGATTTTACACCTCAGAAATACCACAATAAAATCTTGATTTATTGTTTTGTTGATTGCCCAGGCTTAAGAAAATGATGGAGGAAATGTTAAGAATGCATTTTAAACATAAAAGTGTGTTGTATGAACATTTTTTCCCCTTGAGAGCTAGCTATTAAACACCTATCACACCCCTGCTATAATAACTGTCTCTGAAAAATAGACCCAAGGATCACTCCTTCCCCTTTCTAAAATGCTCCTTTCTTACAATTACTTACAATAACCTTCTCTCAGACCTACAACTGAGCTATCATGTAATCAATTGAAATTTTACTGAATGAAAAAAAGAATGAAGCAAAATAAATTTTATGAATAAGAATTGAGGTTCCCAAAAAAGAAACTACCTACCGTCTTTCCTGCATTGTCCAGCCCCAGGATTAGGATGCAGTATTCATCTCTCCGGAACATGTATTTATAAAGCCCTGACAGGAGTGTATACATCCTGCTCCTGTAAAGTACAAGAAACTAGCAATCACTGGGGAATACCCCATTCAGGATTCTGCTCCTTACAGCATCTTACTTGCTTCCTTCAATATAACAACAATAAACAGCAATAGATAAAACAAACCTGAGAGTCAGAAGGGCCAAGATCCTATTCCAGGCTCTTTTTGCTGTGTAACTTTGAGAAAAATCAACCTCTTCTCGGTCAGTTTCCTCATTGGCAAAATGAATATTATACCAGAGACTTCTTATTTACTCCCTAGAAATGTTGTAAGGATTAGATTCTGCCTGAAAAACTTTAAGGTTTTGAGAAAGATCAGAGATAACTATGTTATAATACTACTAGACATCCCACTGCTCTTTCTTTGTGACTGGAAAAGTTTCCCCAAAGACACTGGTATATTATCAGAGTGAGTTTCTGCTTTCTTTTTTATGCAGTAAGTTAAGCTGAGTGATTCTCAGCAGGCTAACTGGGCCTTTTAACTTTTCCCAGCATAAGGGCCTACAGCTGAAAATACCCAGGGACCAAAGTTGCACAGCACATCAAACTCTTTTACAGAGGCCACTATCATTCACCTAAATAGAAACTTATCCCCTTCTCTGAAGCCACTATAACCCAGTGATACTGAGCTTTTAAGGGTTACAGGAAATAAATTTGGAGGCTCATAAATTCCTATAACTTGTACTCCATGGGCCAAACCCACACCTCCACCACAGCCAACAAAAACAAGATTAATCTTTCACCAAGGAAACCATCTTCATTACTGCTGACTTGCAGGTTCAGCTAGCAGGTAAAGAGAACAGTATAAGTGTTCAAATAATGGTTTGGAACACAAGTATAGGATAGGATAGACCTACTGCCTCAGTAGCAGGATAAAAGAGGTTCTATCAGTAGGCAGACTAACTGATCTGGACACTCATACAAAGAGGGCAGTGTAGACTCACTAATTCTGAGGTTAGATAGCTCATAAATGAAAGTGGAATGGGAGACAGAGTAGGACTCTGGCTCAGAAAAAGGGCAACCTATCAATTGGGGAATGACTGAATAAGTTGTGACAGAATGCTATTGTGCTATAAGAAATAAGGAGGGGGATGATTTCAGAAAAACCCGAGAAGACTTACGTGAAATGCAAAGTGAAATGAGGAGAACTAGAACAATGTACACAGTAACACAATATTGGGGCAGCTAGTCCAGTGGGTAGAGGGCTGGGCCTGAAGTCAGGGGAAGACCAGAGTTCAAATCCAGCCTCAGACACTTACTAGCTGTGTGACCCTAGGCAAGTCACTTAATCCTGTTTGCCTCAGTTTCTTCATCTGTAAAATGAGCTGGCGAAGGAAATGGCAAACCACTCCAGCATCTTTGCCAGGAACCCCAAATGGGGTCAAGAAGAGTCAGACAAAACTGAAAAGACTGAACAACAAATACAAACAGCAGCAATACTGTAATAATGATCAGCTGTGAACGACTCAGCTATTCTGATCAATACAATGATTCAAGGTAATTTCAAAGGATTTGTGATGAAAAATGCCATCCATCTCCAGAAAGGGAACTGACGAACTGAGTGAATATTGGAGCATACTTTTTTTTCACTTTATTTTTCTTCCCTTCTTTTTGGTGGTGGTGGTGGTGGTAGGGGGCAATGTGGCTGATAAGGAAATTTAAAAAAAAAAAAAAGAAAAGGGGCAGAAGTCTGGCAAAGAACAATGTATTCCCATTAGCTCAACTGGACCAACGTACTCGGAAGAAGGGGCAGTGACTCCGCGGTCTCTAAGATGGGGAGCGAGGGGGCAGCACAGGGGCACAGGTTCAGAAGAGGCGTGGAAGGGCAAGACAAACCCACCGACTCCGAAGTCGGAGGAGGAAGCAGTGCAGTCAAGTAGAGAAAAGAGGCCCGGAGCGTCACCTAGGAAATTAGGTCCTATGGCCCGGCTTCGACCTGTGCCATGAAGGGAGGGACGTGCCTGAGCTTGAGAGGGACCCATGGGCTTCCTCTTCGTCTCCAGGGAGAGGCCGGCTCCGGCTAAAGGGCCCTCCCCACAGAGGGAACTGTCTGGTCCGGCCTCAAACTCCTAGGTCAGCGGCTCGGGGACTTCCACAACGAACGTGGAGTCCGTGAGGAAGCAACAGGGAACGGGCTGCGGGGCTCCTACCTGCGGCCTAGCGCCTCAGAGACGGAGCCGGAGCGACTGCTACTACAGCTACTAGGGCCGGACGAGACCCTACTGGGCCACTACCACTATGGCCTGCAAGCGTCGACCTTTCTCGCTGACCCTGGCGCTATGACTTCTGGGACATAGAGTCCACACCCACCTCTTGGAGAAGGGAGAGGCCTTTTGGAAACTACGAATCCCAGCAGGCACCACAAGACCTCTGGCGCTAGGCTTATCAGCCTCAACGACGCCTGCACTTCCGGTGGACAGCAGAAGCTGGGGAGGGAGTTCCGGTGGGTTCGTGGCGACCCAGTGAAGGAATAGAGGAGCTGTTGTGGGCCTCTCTAGCCAGAAGAAGTACGGCATCTATGGTTGGCCTGCCCGAGCGGCGGTTTCATGGCGGCCGTGGAGGTGGCGGTGGCGGCTGCTTCCCAGGCCTGAGGGGTGAGCGGCTGAAGAGATGCGCAGCTACGGGAGTAGGGCCCGAAAATGCCTGGGCAGGGAGGACGGGGCTCAGAGTAGGACTAGAGAACAAGGAAACGACCCACCCCCCACCCCCCACCCCCGCCTCCTGCTCTATGGGCGAGGTCTCTGCGGAGGACGCCCGAGGGCTAGGCCTCATCTCCCCTCCCCCACCACCCTGCTCCCTCCGCCGCCCCTTCCTCCTCCCCCTTCCCTTCTTCCCTTCCCGTTTTCTTCGTTTTCGTCTTCCACTCTCCTTCTCCACCTTGTTCTTTTCTTACTCCTCTTTTCTGCCTTTAGGAGTTTACATTGTACTGGTGGGAAATAAGATCTAGGCAGCTAAGTCAGTACACAATTTGTACCAAGTAAATAATTCCTCCTCCTCCTCCCACCGTCCTTCCTCTGCTTCCTCCTCCTCCCTGCCCTTCCCTCTTTTTCCTGCCCTCCCCATGGCCTCATTCGATCCACCTTCCTTCTTTCCTGTGGCCTATGTCTCTTCCTCCTCCTCCTGGCTTTTACATCGCATCTTCCATTCAGACCTGTCTAAGGAGATGACCACTTTAAGTTTAGGAACCTTAATTTTAAAGGAAGACATGGTTGCTGCCCTCCCTAGTCCAAGTTGGACATATGACCTTGCTTTGGAGTAGCTGTCAGTTGATGAGTAATGACACTCCCCCTGGTCTGAGAGAGGGAGACAGGGCACAAACACAGGGACTTTTTCTGTTGTGATTAAGCTTCTGTTTGAAATGGCCTTATTTCTTCTCTGCAGCTGGTGATTCCTAAAGGTTGTTGTGGAGCAGCTGCTTCCTAGCCAGCATTTTGGAGGATGTAGGGATACTTAAGTAGATCATCAGAAGAGCTACAAACTGCCTCTGCAGGATGGATGAGAATAGTGTGGAAGCTTCCATCCAGACCTACCATGTCCAACTGCAGCAAGTGGAGCTGGCCCTGGGGACCGGCTTGGACCCTACAGAAAAAGCTGACTTGCTTCAGCTCCAAGCTGACTTAAAGCAGCTAATCGAGCTAACGGAGTCCAGTCTTGTGTCCATCAAGAAGAGCAAGCTCCTGGCCACACTGGACCCAAGCCTTGGCCTAATTGAGAGTGCAGTAAGGGATGAAGCTGAGTATTTGGCTTTCCAGAATGCCATCCGTGAAGTGACAGGAGATTCTGAGACTCAAGGTGCTGAAAGTGCAACTTCTCTTGAAAGAGGAGAAACTGAGCCTGACAGATCTGGGCATGAAGAGGAAGAAGAGGAAGAGTTGAGTGGGATGAAGGTGAATGCTCCATACTACAGTTCATGGGGCACTCTGGAATACCATAATGCTATGATTGTGGGGACAGAGCATGCAGAAGATGGCACAGCAGGGGTTCGTGTGCTCTATCTCTACCCAACTCACAAGTCCCTAAAGCCCTGTCCCTTCTTCCTGGAGGGAAAATGCCGATTCAAAGAGAACTGCAGGTAATTCTCTCTCCCATCCCATTCTGCCCTTACAGGTACCAGGAGACACTCAGGCAGCTGAGGACAGCAGCCTCAGCTTGGAATGGTTGGGAGTGATTGGTTTAGTTTTTAATCATCTCTCATGCTACCAAGAGGTGCAAGATAGTTGAGGCACTCTCAGTGTTGTTTTCTTGCTCTCATTAGCACAATATAGGGCATGGCAGTATTTAGAAATTAGGGTTTGGGTCTTTTTTGGTGGAGGGGGGTACATTTTGGGAGGAGGGTTCTTGGACCAGAGTTTGATCCTAGACACGTCTCCCCTTCTCCATTCCTCGGTTTACTCCTCTGTTAAATAGGACTATACTTCTTTGAGTGCTTTGAGTTCTCCTGTATCGCACATGTGTGAAGCAACCTTGCAAATGCTGTAGCTACTCACCCACAGTGAGTACCCTATGTGTCCAGTGAGATGCAGTGGTGGGCCTTTACTCCCATGTGTCTTGGGGAGGGGCAGGGACTGGGTGGAATAGGGATACCTAAAGGGTATTTGGTTTTGGTTTTGTTCTTGTTTGCAAGGTTTATGGAGAAGCATGTTTCTAGGTTGGCCTTAAGCTGACTTGTGGGACTCTTCTTCCTTGACTTTACATACCCTTTTTCATTGAAAAGAATTCAACCCAACCAAATGAGCAGTGGTATGAAAAGTATGATTAAAAAATATAACTCAAGACCCTCACACTAGAATTTGTGTAGAATCAGCTGTGTGAGCTCTTACTTTAACTGTCCTTTGGCAATATGGGACCGAATTGATCATTACAAAGGGACTGTGGGTAAGCCACTGATCTGGCAATCCACTCCCAGAGAGTTGAGAGTTTACTGCTAACACCTGTCCCACCAAAAATAGTAAAAACAAAATATCCCTCAAACTCCCCATTATTTTTGAATGGGATACCTCTTTTTTGGCATCTATCTGATTTTCTACATTAGAGTGCAAGTTCTGACAAGTACTGGATTTACTACTTCTTGGTACCTGATGTTAGTGCCATTTATGGGTGGGAATATTTGACTTGTGCTTAACCTAATCCCTGCAGGTTCTCCCATGGGCAAGTAGTTGCTGTGGATGAACTTCGCCCCTTCCAGGAGCCAGACCTGAGTGCCCTGCACACAGGCTCAGCCTGTCTGGCTAAGTATGATGATGGAATTTGGTATCCAGCCCGGATCACAGGTGAGCTGTTCAGACAGGGAGGACTAAGGGTTTCCTTAAGCAGCATCTCTTGAAATGATTGCCTCATGCCAGTGATTTTGAAAGCTGCATCTGATTTCAGATTTTTTTTTCAAGATTCAGATAAAAATCAGTTTGTTGTTAAATTTGATGTCTTTATTTTCATCATGTATTGGATACTGAAATGGAGTGGCATTTGTTCTCTTTCTTCCTCTTTGTTCATTTAACTGTGCCGCTTCTGTGACAATACTTGATGAACACAATTATTGAAAAACTCTTTGAATGTAGCAGCTGTAGGGGCAGGTAGGTGGCGATAGAGCACCGGCCCTGAAGTCAGGAGGACCTGAGGTCAAATCCAGCCTCAGACCAAACACTTGACACTCGCTATCTGGGTGACCCTGGGCAAGTCACTTAACCCCAATTGCCTTAAAAAGAAGAAGAAAAAAAAGAATATAGCAGCTGTAAATCAAACCAAGGATTATGGCTAGGTCCTCAGTGCCATCAGGTAGAACACTGAAGTAAACTTGATCCCCCATACACTGTCAAAGGTTGACCTTTATTGAGTCCACAAGTATTTATTAAGTTTATGATATTGCAGGCATGATGCTAGGAATATAAAGACAAAAATGAAACAGTCCCTGCCCTTGAGGAGCTTCGAGTCTACTGGGGGTAAATAAGATATTTGCAGATAAGTAAATTTAAAATATGTACAATATAAATTATAAAGCAGTTTTTAGCATGGAGGACAGCACTAACAACTTAAGGGATCAGGAAGTAGCACTTGAGCTGAGCTTTGAAAGGAATAAACTATTCTGAGAAGCAGAGTGAATAGGGAGCTCATTCCAGGGAGCAGAGATCCAGAGACTGGAGCTGAAATGTCATGCACAGCAAATAGCAAGTGTGTCGGTTTGACTGGTACATGGAATAGGTGAGGGAGAGCAATGTGAAATCAGTCGGGAAAGATAAATTGGAGGCAGATCTTGGAAGTGCTTTAAATGTCAGACTGGTATGTATTTTATACTACAACCATACTACAACAAAAACTTCTTGACTAGGGGTGTGACATAGTCATACCCATGGGAAATATTGGAACAGTACACAAGACTCACCTAAAAACACTTGATTATCATTCTCAACTAAACACATAACATTGTATCACCTTGGGCAGTAAATAGTCTTTTTCTTGCCTCAGTTACCCATCTGTAATGTTTTAGTTTCCAGTTCCACTTTTGTGGGGTTTTTGGGGTTTTTTGTTTTTGCTTTTGCGCATCCTGTTTGTTTCACGTGATCATGAAGTTAATTGGTGTTCTGTTCTTCCTCCCACAGATGTGGACAGTGGCTACTACACGGTCAAGTTTGACTCACTGCTTCTCAAAGAGACTGTGGTGGAGGGGGATGGTATTCTGCCTCCCCTACGCAGTGAAGACAGTACACCTCAGGAGTCTGATGGAGATGATGTGGATGACTCCAGCTATGCCAAAGGTTCTGAGACGGCTCTGCCTTACTCATGTTGAGCAGTGGAGCACTAATGTCCTTAGTGTTCCAGTTCAGCCTATAGGAAATGTAGAACTTTCTGTTCTCATGAAGGCAGGTAGAAGGGCAGGGGCTAAGCATCTATAGGTCTTTCTTCAGTTAGAAAGTACTTTGTTCCATCCCAGTCTTCCTGGTGTTCTTTGGTAACTCTTATTTCTATAGTGTCTCAATATTTGCAGAGTGTTTCCTCACAGCAACCCTGCAAGAAGGATAGGACAAATGTTGTTATCTCCATTTCAGAAATGAGAACGAAGGTCAGAGGCCAGATTCTTCACCCACATTCACACAACTAGTATGTGATGGACCCAAGTTTTTAACATGGGCTTCCAACTCCCAAGTCTAATATTCTTCCATTACAACCAGCTGCCACAGCACCAAACCCCTCTGGAGCCTCTGTTGGTAAATGGTGCTAATCTACAGAGGAGATGAGTATGGAAGTTGGGGTGGAAGAGATAGTGTTACTGTTGATTAGGGAGAAAGAAGGGGAGAAAGGCAGCATTGCTACTGCTTTCTAGGGAGAGGCTCTATAGCAGTTGGGTCTTCCATATACAGTCTCTGTCTAGGTTCTGTGCTTACTAGATGCATCTGTAAGGAGAATTGCAGCTTCTGTAGAATGCCTCTTTTCCCCCTTGAAGTCAGCTTATGCCTTTTCTGCAGAAGAGTTTATGGGAATAATTAATCTCTGGGTTCAGGTTGCATGAGAAGGAATCCTTTGCTGCGTGGTCCCTTCCTTAGTTAAAGCTAATGTCCACCTTTGGTTTTTTTGTAGTTGTGGAGTCAGATGCCTTGGAAAAAGGGGCTTGGGGCCCTGCTTGCAGCTCCTCATTTGCTGGCTGGGAGGCACACACCCGAGGCATAGGTTCCAAACTTCTTGCTCAGATGGGCTATGAGTTTGGCAAAGGTAACTTTTTTTAGCCCTTGAGGCATGTCTTTAACCCAACATTCTCCATATTTATGTTGAAGAATGGCATTGATTTGTCAGCATTGACTCCAGCTGTGTAGTTCTGTAACTCCATGTGGAAGAATAACATTTCTCTTCTGCTCCCAACCCACCTTTGTCATCTTAGGTCTTGGAAAGAATGCTGAGGGCCGGGTAGAGCCCATCCATGCTGTGGTGCTTCCAAAGGGGAAGTCCCTAGATCAGTGTGCTGAAATTCTCCAGAAGAGAACAAGCAGTAAGCCAGACCTTGGCAAGCCAAGGAAAAGCCAAGCAAAGGGGAATGGAGTTAAGGGACGCCCACCCCAACGCAATGTGTTTGATTTCCTTAATGAGAAACTCCAAGGCAAGGTTCCAAGGGTCCAAGAGGAAGGGAAGGTCCCATCCCTTAAGAGGAGTAGCAAGGAGCTCTACCATGCCAGCAAGAGTACCAAGCGATCCCTCAGTGTACAGCTCTTCCAAATCCTGGAGAAGGTGGAGCAAACTCAGAGGGACATCCGAAGTATACAGGAAGCCCTGGCCCGGAACATTGGCCGGTATGATACAAGCTTTTCCTAGAGAGGGAAGACCCTGGGGAAAGATTGGATGTTAGATGGTGCCAACAGGAAAGACAGGGTTCAACTGCACATCTGAAATTACTTTAGCCTATTAGGCTCAAGAGCCAAATCAGCAAGCCATTGATTAAGTGTTAACTAGTCATTGTTTTAGCACATCCTTTTTATCTCAGTTCAAGGGTAAGAGATTAGTAGTAGCCTTGAACTCTTCCAACCAGGCTGTGACTATATGAGGAGCACTTAGCTCCAGAAAGGAATGTCTTTTTTTTTTTCTTTTTTGTGAGGCATTTGGGGTTAAGTGACTTGCCCAGAGTCACACAGCTAGTGAATGTTATGTGTCTGAGGCTGGGTTTGAACTCGGGTCCTCTTGACTCCCAGAGCCAGTGCTTTATCTATTGTGCCACCTAGCTGCCCCAGGAATACTTTTGAGAATAGAGTAGGGTTAGTTCAGTTTGCCAGCCTTTAGATAGTTCTTAAGTCCCCCAAAGGTGGCATAGTCACCCTTAAATTGCTTGGAGTAAAAAGCAGACAGCCCCTGCCCTCATGGAGTTTCTAGTCTAACGGACACAACTTTGCAATCAATATCAAATCATGGAAAATACAAAGGAAAAGTCAGGGATTATAGCAGAGGCTAGAGAATCAACTTAATTAATTTGGAAAGGTTTCCTTGATGTAAAGCTGAGGCTGGTTCCCAGAGTAATTCCATGGTTTCTTTTTAGGCATAGTGTGGCCACAGCCCAGCTCGAGGAGAAGTTGGCCGGAGCCCAGAAAGAGCTGAAGAACCTCCGGGCCCAGGAGGCAGGTTTGCAGCGGGAACAGAAGACTGCTGACACACACAAGAAAATGACAGAGTTTTAGTGCTGAAGCAGGAGTTCTCTCCTGGCTCCTGAGTCTATCCTCCCCCTTTCTCTTCACCCTCCCACCCCCCACTTACCCATCCCTACCCCCACAGTGGGTGTGGCTCAGGCCTGAAAGCCCAAGTTCCCTCCATTCTCCTCCTTTGCTCCTATGCCCTGGGTACTTGAGGGGGCAGGCCTCACTAGGGATACCTGTGCCGTCCTTAGTGAGCTCTGCTTCAGCCCCACTGACTGGAGACCCCTTCTTTTGGGCCACAGGTGTGGATATTAAGGGATGGGGGTTTAGGACTAGCTGGAGGCTCCCAGGGAATGGGCTGGCTAGAGTTACAGTTTCTGCCTCCTAAGCTAGCAGACTTGGGGACCTGAATTGTACCTGCTTTAGACAGACCCAGGAAATGATAACAAATCACCTTTTTCCACACTCCCCCAGAGCCAGACTCCCTCCCAGCCTCACCCATCAGCCAGTTTGTGGCCTCCACTCTACAGAAGAGTGAAGCCTGAGGCGTGTTAGGAAGGTCAGGTGTCACTCCCTCTCCCTCCCAAAATACCCCTGAGAGCAGATGGAACAGGAGAGAAGGTCCAGAGGAGCAGGGCCTGAAGACCAAGGTCTCCTTTACTTTCCGGATGACCCCAGGCCTTTCCAGACACAAACCAAGCTGTGTCAGTGGCATTGTGACTCTGGCAGCCTCTTCTTGGGAGGGGGGAACATTTTTCTTGACACTTGTTTTCCAGTTTGTTCTGCCACAAGGACTTAGGAAGGAGTTTTTCTTAAACAAAATGATTAAAGTGACGTCATTGCTGTGTCATTAAGTGGAGAGTCTCTGGTGAGGGCTGAGACCAGAAATAAGAAGGGGGCTCCCTGGGTCCAAAATGAGGGCATAGGACTCAAGGATATAACGATTCGGGAAATGGGGAAAGGGGGAGTTGGGGCTGGGTAGGGACTGCTTCATAGTAGCTGTGGCTGACTAGTTCCCTACCTCTTCAAAAGTGGCCATGGCCATCTGGGTAAAGAGAGCAGTCAGTCAGATGGGGGAAAACCTTTCAGCCCCAGCCTTAATCCTGGTCCAAATGCGGTTTCTCTTTCAGAAGGAAAATCAGAGAGGCCAGAATAGCAAGTAAAAGAACCCAAAGAAAGAGAGCAGGTCATTGAAGTTTCTCCCCCAGACTGGCTATAATTCCATACAAGTTACCAGTGTTCAAAGTGGGTGGTGGCTTGGCTGTTGGCCTTTGATTTACTGCTTGGAATTCATTAACTGAGCGTAATGGATTGACTAGAGGGGCCAAGGGTGCTGGACTGAAACATTCCCATGTTCCAGCAGAGGGAGCAGTTCTTTGCTAGGTGCCTCTAGTCTGCAGAGTGTAGAGTAGGTGATAGAGGTTTAGAAACTACACAGGGTTGGGTGGGGAGATGTGCTAGGCATGGGCCAGGAAATGAGCCCGTGGTGCTAAGGGTGGGGGCTGAACAAAGCAGCTACCACTTTAGAAGACATGGTGGAACTGTCCCGAGGCTGGCTGGCACGTCCAGAGCCTACATCCAGCAGAGTGAAGAGGAAGATACCCTAGCAGCAGCAGAAGCAGCACCAGTGATCAAGGTACCTGAATATAGAGACCGGTCAAGTTTGCCTGAAAGTAAGTGCTGTATAGGCTTCTTGGGTTCTACAAGAAGAGGCCTCTGGAGCCATTGGAAAGCAAAGGGGAATTAGATCCCAGTGAGCCATTCCCAACCATCCCCCAGGCTTAGGCAGGGGACAGTTAGAAGTTGGTACCCTTGGCATAGAAGCTATCCCACTTAGCATCTGACAAACTTATGGTTGAAGTCAGCTAAATGATTTTCACCAACTCAAAATACCAGGGTAGGGATAGTACCAGTTGAGCAAAGCCAACCTCTTTCCAACAGTGGGGAGGGAAAAAGTAATGGCTAGAAATTGGTCTGTATGGAGCTAAAAGGGCAAAGCTATGTGATTGCTTTCCTAGGAATTTTGGGGAGTACGTCCTCCAACCCTGCCCTTACTGACTCTAAGCAAAGACACTTTTACCAGTTTTGGAGGTAGTAATTGAAACATCCTAGTATTTTAATCTTTGGGAGAATTCTCCAAATTCAGCAATTAGCCTGTTCCGTTCTGTTTCCTGGCCTCTATTCCCTATCATATTACTCATCCTCCACTAGGAACCCTGTATTGGTAAGAGAGAGTTGTTTTCTGGATTTTAATTCAAAACCAGAAACTACCTTGTCCCCATTATTGAGTTAGGAGGAACCTTACCTCCACCCTCGCCAGAAACCTTCACATCACTTCTTAAACCTTGGGGGGATGGGGTCATCAGGCAGGAAACAGAAAAGCAGATGGTTGTATGAAAAGGCTTCAGTTGCTGCCCTGTCAGGATGGCTAACAAGGAGAGGCCTCAGAAGCTGAAGCTTGGGCTAAGGTCCTCTGCAGATCCCCTACTCTTACCCCTGCCTTCCTTGATTCCTCTATGACATCCATTCATTCTTCCCTTTATGTGTAGCTTGCTGGCCTTAGAGTTGTGAAATCACCACAGCATTTTGAAGGGTGGAGAGAGGGTAGCAGTTTCCCTCCTTTTCCAGCAATTGGGCTCAGTGGCAGCAAAAGCTGATGCCTTTCAAGGCCTTCCTTACCATTGGACTTCTAAAGTAAATGTATTCTCATCAGAAATGCTCTGGCTGCATAGTTCGCATCCTGGATGCAGTGGTGAACTCACCATTGTCTCCACCACCATCATTCCCTCACTCCCTTTGCTCTCCCATTTCCCCAGCCAAAAAAAAAAGCAGGATCTGAGATTAGTGGGGCTGACTTGGTGAACTTAGAATGCTAAAATCACCACCTCAGTAAGGTTTACAGCCTTTGTGGTTTGTGGGGTCAGTAAGGTGTTCTTGTCTGTGGTTTGGGGTGAAACCACAACTGATTCCAGGTCAGCAGGGTTTGAAATCTCCCAGTTACAGTTATTAGGGTGGGGGGAAGGAGGCTCTTTAACTGGGGGCAGTGGAATGGGTGAGCCATTCTCATTGTTCCTCCCCTCCCCCTCCAAGTTTCCAGGAGCCTTGGTATAGCAGACCTTGCCAGGGGGAGAAGCCTTTAGGAGAAAGATGTACCCCCAACTCCTTTTGACATTGTGGGGAAGCAGTCTCAGGAACAAAGCTAGGCTAAACACAACTAGAGTTTTCTCAGGCTGGTAGTGCATCATGTAGCAACCTGATGGATAGACACTTGGACATAAATGGAAGTCATATGTAGATCAGTAAGGATGGCTTTTTAAGGCACCAGCTCAGGCACTGTTAGCAACTCATCTACATCAGAGACCACAGGCAGTGGGGGAGGGGGGCCCAAGAAGCTTTTTGGTTTCCTGTTCGCTGAGTCAGAGCATCCCCTCCCTCAGCATCCCACCTTCTGCTCTTGGAGGGGGTGGGGAAGGAGTTGTGTCCTTCAGAAATTCAAATTGGGATTTTCTAATTCCATCACAACTACACCATACTTCCTGACCTGGCCCCTTCTTCACAGGCCAGAGTACAACAGCTCCCTGCATGGCAGTGGTTCAGACTGCCCCCAAGCCCCAATCCCCTCCAGCCCTTTGGGTCCTGAGTTTCCTGGCCTTGATACTTATGCTTTGTGCCTTGTGCACCACCTGTCACAGGTATGTCTGTCCTCCTGTCACCCATCATTCAAAATTACTCGGTCATCCCAGCAGGGATTCTAGTTCAATTAATCATACCTACATAGGGCCTGTTGTAGACAACTGGGAGGAACCAATGAGGAAGCTCTAGGGGAACTGAGACTGCTCGAAGAGGTAAGACTTGAGGAAGCAATAGAATGAGGTGCTAAATTCACCACTGTATGAAAGAAGATAGAGCTTTGGTTGAGGAGGTAGAGAGCCCCATGAGCTGAAGTAGCCTGTCCCCAACCTTTCTTCGGGGACAGAGATGTGACTTGAGCTGGTCTTGAAGGATGGCTGTTATTTCAGAGCAGGGAATGGGGAAGGAAAGTATGGCAGAGAGGAAACTTGATGTATTGAAAAGAACAATGAACTTGAAATCAAAAGATCTGAGTTCAACACCATGTTACCTTGTTAAAGTCACTTCTCTCCCTCCACCTTGCACTGACTTCAGTTCCCTCATCCATTAAAAAGAGAGATTTGGATAAAGTGAAGGTCCCTTCTAGCTCTAACATTCTGTGATCCTACTTAGTTTTCTCTTCAGTAAAATGAAGGGGTTAAACTAGATGATTGCTAAGATTTTTTTCCAGCTCTAAATACTGTGACCTCATGTCTGGCCTGACAGCCTGTTGTAAGGCATACACTTTACAGATTTGCAAAGCTCCCTAGAAATAGGAGCTATGATATTGCTCCACAGAACAAAATGGGAATAAGAGATAGTGACAGAGAGAAGGAGGAGGAGGAGAAGGGGGGTGGTGGTGAGAGAGACAAAAGAGTGCTAAAGGAAGTATAAGATGATGTATATTCTGGGACAGCGAGACATGAAGCTAGGAAAGTGTTAGTTGATCCAGGTTGGTGAGGGCCTTGACAGGTCAAGGAATTTGGCCTTTATCCTGTGTGCAACCACCAAATGATGAAGCCAGAGTTGTGTGGCAGGAAATATGCAGGATGAATTGAAGCAATACAGAAAGTGGTGGTTCTAAAACTTTCCACATGACTATAGGTAAGTAATTTCCCTTCTCTGTACCTCAGTTGCCTCCTCAGCAAAATAAGTGGTTTGGAAGCTTCCAGATCTTAATATTTTAGAGGCAGTATGATATAGTGAAATAAATGTTGGAGAGACCTCGGTTCAGATCCTGGATTTGATAGTCAACATCAACCTAGGCAAGTCACTTAATTACTTTGAGCCTTAGTTTCTTTATTTGTAAAATGGAGATAGTAATGCTTATTACATAATACCTCACAGGATTGTGAGCAAAGTGCTGTGCAAACCTGAAAATTTTATACATGTCCATAATCATATGATACTGTGACATCAGTCAGGTATGATACTTTGCCCTTAGTACCCATGCCTCTCTAGTTCAGTTTCTCCCACTAACCCCAATCTTTGTGACAGGTGGGAGTGGTGATGGAAGTCTGTGGTAACTTGGGGGCTTGCCCACTGGTGAGTAAACCCCTCCCACTCAGGGCCTGAGACTCACTATCGGCAAAGACTAACCCCCTTAATCTCCCCCACCCTTTCTGTCCTCCAGGAAGGGTAAAAGAAGGCAGCAGTCTGGGCTGAATCTAGTGGATGTGGTGAGTGACTTTAGGTGGGACAATGCAAGTGTGACATGCCCCTCCCCCTTTTACATGGGCTTTGGGCTTCAGGAATGTGGCTCATGGTTGAAATTGGGAAAAGTACTAATAAGATTTCCCCTCCTTCATCCCCTAGTCATTACTGAGACAGACCCAGCTTCATTCACTCAGCAAGTCAGACTCTAAACTGCATGAACTCAACCAGGGCCCTAGGAACAGTAAAGGTGAGGGATTCATTGTCCTTTTCAGTCTTAAGTCTTTTTCCCACCCTACCCCCAGGAGACCAAGTAGGTTCTTATCTTCTCCTTGTTTCCTTCTCTTCACTCCAAGTTTCATTGTCTTGTTCCCACCTTTCCCCTAGCCCAGCGTCCTGTCAGCATTGACCTCCTATACCCACGGTGGCCAGGAGGGATCAGGGCTGATGTTCAGATGACCACAGTGCCTCCTGTCTTTATTCACCGTGAGTTGCCCCAGCCTCCACTTGCTTCAGACTTCTTGGCTCTTGAGTCCACCTATTCCAATGTGAGGCTGGCAGCTGCCCCAAGAACTTCCCCCATGACACAAAGGGGAGAGGAACAGCTGAGTATTTCAGAGAAGTTGGTAATAGCAGAGTATGCCTATGTACAGAAGAACAAGAAAGGGGCTGAGGTGGGACCCAGCATGACAGGTCCCAATGATTCAATCCCTGGGGAGAGAGGAGCCTTGCAACCTGGAAAAGCAGCTGAGGTAAAGTGGGTCTGGAGAGATTGGAATGCTCGGCAGGTTTTGCCCTTGGAAAGAAGAGGCATGGCCAGCCGGGGGGGGGGGGGGGGGGGGGGGGGGGGGGGGTGTTGGTTTATGAGAGCGCTAGAGTATCTCCCCTTTCTGTTCCCAGTTTCTCCTTTCTTTTCTAGTCCCCCCTTCCCCCTCCCCAAGATGTAGAACTGAAGAGGCCAGGATCCTCATTGGTATCCGGGTCACTCTGGTTTCTGCATTTTTCCCCAGGTGGAGGTTCTGTATTCAAAGATCAGCAGGGTAGGCCGGAAACCTTTGGAGCCCACCTGGAACAGAGCTCTCTGTAACCAGCTGGACAGAAATACTCAGGCCCCCCCTAATGGAGACTGCAAATGAACAGAGCCCGAGTCCAGCTACAAACCCCTCCTACAGGAGTAGCAGTCCCACCTGGGGCAGGGATACAGAAAATGGTCCCACTGAGAATTTTTATGAGAGCATCAATGAGATAGAGGGGCTTGGTGAGGCACAGATTCATAAGCCCTCTAAAGATTTATGAAAATGGGGAAAAAATAAAGGCAAAAGGAGTCCAGTTGTGTGTGTATATACCTGTAATCATGGGATTGGGATGGAGGGACAAGGAGAGAAGGCAGTCTGAGGTTGGGAACTTTTCAATCTGTCCCTCTCATCCCCTGTTCAGATACCCTTTTTTTGGGATTCTGTATCTCCCTGAGTGCTTTTTGAATGCAGACTCCTATATTTGAATATTATGGGACTCAGAGAGGAGATGCAATCTGAGACACAGGACACAGTAGGGAAGACTGAATGTTAATGTGTATGGAATAAATCATGTAGTGGCAGTTCAGAGGATTGATAAGTGAGTGGTGGGTGTTAGGGAAAGCATGGGAAAAAGGTAAGATAAGATAGGTAGAGATGTGATATAGAGACCACATTTAGGAAATTCATGAGGGAACAAAATGAAGCAGAAGGAAAATGGAACATTGGAATAAGATGTTGGTCAGCTAACAGACCACCCTTCCTGTGCTTGAATAGCTTGAAGCCATGAGCTGAGGAGTCCCCCTGTCCTAGAGCTGCAGGGTTGGGGACTGACCTCTGGGGGCTGGTGAACTTTGGCTATTGGAAGGAGAGGGCTAAGAAGCATAGGATTGCCAAAGGCTTGCCCATCCATGGTCTGCCCAGCCCCCACAGTTACATAACTGGTTGTTGAAAATTAACCTGGACAGTGCCAGGGCTGGCCCTAGTGAAAAGAAGATGGAGGGGACAATGGGATGGAGGAGGTACTTCATTCTGGGCCACAAGGTCTTAAATCCTGAGAAACAGAAAAAGGGAGGCAAGTGACCTGTGCTAAGGCCCATGTGTGCTCTTCAGCCCCAACTACAAAGACCTCCATCTCCTGGGTGCCATGTGGCGTATCTTGCCCTGAGGTCTACAAGGCCAGTGAGTAGAGTAACACTGCTGCTTTGGTGTTTTAAATCAGTGTACCGGCTTCCTCATTACTCATCAGGGATCTATACCAAGAAGCAGTCTTAAAACCAGGTCCCAACTTTTGGGGATTCAAAGACTCAGATTCTCAGAGCTCGGAGGCAGCGCTGGAGGGGGACTAAGAAAAAGGAGGCCCATGGGGTAGAACGCGCATGGCAGGGGCGTTCTGCACCCCCTCCACCAAACAGCCTATCTTAGACACTGTCAGTTTAAAAATCCTTTAGTGGAACAGGCAGGCTCCGACGTCCCACCACCCAGGGTAGGGGGCCCGGCAACGTCGCTCCCAAACTGGCCATGTGGGAGCTGGAGAACTCGGAGAAGGCGCGGAGGGGCGGGACGGGGCGGGGACTAAGGGCAACTATGGCCTCTAGAAGCGCCTCTAACGCGGGCCTGGATGGACCAGCTGTCTGCCACAGCCCGCGCCCGGGCCCTGAGCCAGGCGGGCCTGGTGGCACGGAAAGAAAGGTCTCGCCGTCCCGCCGTATAAAATGGTTTGACACATTAGGATAATGGATTGTGTTTTAGCACAGTAAGCCCGACGCACCTAGCGACTGCGTCTACGTGTGTGTGGGGGTCGGGGGGAATGAGGGGGTTGAATGTCTATCCTTTCAACCCCCTAAGCCTGGAATCCGCGTTCCTACAGCCCTTACTATTTTCCTTCTATTCAGGATTCCGCATTGATTCGGACTAAGAACTCCCGCCCTTCCAGCTCGCTCCCTCCTGGGCCTAGCTCCTCCCCACAGAATACCGGCCGGGAGCCGGACTCTCGCCTGTGGAGTGTAGCCGGAGGCGGGAGCGCGGAGTGAAGGCGGGGTGGGGAAGAAGTGAGTGCAGCGCAACACTCCGTTCTCTCCCCCTCCCCCCCAGAACCCGGGCCAATGAGAGAGTGAGCCGGCTCTGGGCCACGTTCCATCTCGGAATGTTGATACAGCGCGCTGACCAATGGGAGCGCGCGGCAGGGGGAGGGGAGGTGGGCTGCACGCGCAGCTAGGGAGAGCTAGAGAGCGGGCGCGCGAGGGGGGCGTGGTCCCCCTTGTTGCAGACCCGGGAGCGCGGCGAAGCAAGCCTCCCGGCCCGGTTCCAGGGCTAGGGGCTTCGCCGGCCGGCAGGCCGGGAGGCAAGCAGGGGAGTGGGGTGCACAGTGTTGGCAGGTCGTGGCTAGCCACCCCCTCCCCTGGCACAGCGGCCCGGAGGCAGTCCGGGGTCCCCCTCCATGGAGTCCCAGCGAGCTGTGGCGGCTGGTAGTCGGATCTGCTCCCCGCCCCCGGGACTGACGGCTGCGGCCGCACTTGGCTGCCCAGACTGTCCCCCGGCTCGGGGGCTGTGCTGCGGTGTCCTTCCGCCCTGCAAACCTGGCCCCACGGCAGCCCCCGGCCCCGGCCCTGCCGGTAACGCCGTCTACACGGTGCTGGTGGATGAGTCTCTGCTGAGGCGGAAGGCGGGGTCGGCCCCGGCCCCAGGGAGGCCCGGACAGCTGCAGCAGGTAACTGGGCGGGGGGTCGGCGGGCGGGGCGGGGCTGGGGGCCGGGGTGGGGCGCTGGACAGTCCTGGGCCGAGGCCGGCCCTGGCCCCTGGACGGAGGTGGGGGTAGGGCGGGGTCGGGGGCGGGGGGGGGGGCAGGGTTCAGGGCGGGGGCTCCTCCCGAGAAACTTTCTCTTGCTGCAAAGATGGCGTCGCAGCTGGAGGCGGCTGCAGAAAGTTTGGGCTTCGGGGGGAGGGAGGGAGGGAGGGGTGGAGGGGCGGGGGCCGGGGCTTCGCGGGAGGGAAGCGGGGGGAGGGGAAGAGACGCCCCCCCTCCAGCCCTCCTCCCCTAGGCCCAGGCAGTCCAGTCAGTCACACCGCCGGGCGCAGGGTGGAAGGCGGGGCGGGCCCGGGCTGCGCGGGCTCGGGCCTTAGGAGCTGGGGGAGGCGGTGTTGGAGCTAGACTTCCCGCCGGCCCGGCAGGGAGGGGGCGGGGCCGGCGTCCGGCGGCGCTGGGGGGAGGGCTCGTGGGGGTGCGCCCTGGGGGAAGGCCCGAGGCGCTCGCTGGGGTGGGGGGGGGGGCTCAAACTTCCGGGCCCTGGCACCCCGTCTATGCTGCCCTGGTGCCAGCCAGAGGGAGGAGGATTCATTTCGGAGGTGTTTCCTGGGCCCCGGTCTGCAGCCCCAGGAAACCTGTGGGAGCCGCGGGAATGGGGTTTAAAAAGCCACCGAGCAGAGAGAGAGAGAGAGAGAGAGAGAGAGAGAGAGAGAGAGAGTGTGTGTGTGTGTGTGTGTGTGTGTGTGTGTTTTGTTCGTGCAGAAGAACCTAGTCAGAACTAGGAGTAATCTCCTGTGTTCTTTGCTCCATTATGGAACCCTGGAGTTCGGAGGGCCTCTTCTCTGGGGCAGGACAGAGGACTTTAAACTTGGGGAGAATGGGGGTTAAGGAGGGAGTGATGTGATACCATTGCCTCGCCTAAGCCAGGCCTGTGTTCTGTCAGCAGGGGGCTATCCATTGCAGTGGCCAAGTGGGGCCAGAGGAATTGCTGCCTGGGCAGAAAGCCGAGGATCCATGGGGCCTAGGGAGCTGGGATGAGGTTGGAGACTGGGACCAGAGTGGGCTGCTGCAATCTGCATACATCCCTGTCCCCAAGCAGAGGTGAGAAGCTCTTAAGGGGTTGGGAGGAAGATGTATGACTCCCAAGTCCTCTGTAACTAGGTTTGCCTCTTTATACTTTTCCCAGCCATGAAAAGTTGTTGCATACACACTGTTTTTTCAAGGGAAAGGGGTGTTTAGTAGGGCACTGACAGTGTATACTGGAATGGACAGAGTATTTGCAGGAGTGTGAGGTAGGTGTGAAGAATGGCCCATCCTCCAGATGGATACACTAAGGCAGAGAGTGAAAGTGGTAGCTAGACTGGGACTCAACTCTTGGGTTCCAGGTCTGTGGGTAGCTCTCTAGCCTAGCATTTTCTGCATCCAAGCTTTTGGGTACAGAATGGTGAGGTTTGACTAGAAAACAGAGAGAGGAGTAGTAGAATAGTATCTTATACACTTCCTGGCACTAATGGCTTACTTGGATGAGGTATAACTAGCTGAGCTCTAGAGGCATTTTGGGGATAAGGTAGGCTGGGTAGAGCTGAGTAGAAGTGGGCTGAACAGGGAGGGTGCTGAAGAATCCAATGGAGACCCTTCATAGGATAGCTTCTTGATCTGGTTCCTTTCTCATAGACTGAGACTTCAGCACTTTTCTGTGCCCAGTGGGTCACTGAGTTGGGTGCTAAGGAGACAGGAACTCTGTTGGTTTAGTAAACAGCCAGGCTTTGGCCTGAGTTCAGAGGTTGCCCTGAAGCAAAAATTCTTTTTTTTTTTTTTTCCCCAAATTTTTAGGCAACTGGAGTTAAGTGACTTGCCCAGGGTCACATAGCTAGTAAGTGTCAAGTGTTTGGTTTGCGGCCAGCTTTGAACTCAGGTCCTCCTGACTTCAGGGCCAGTGCTCTATCCACTGCGCCACCTAGCTGCCCCTGAAGCAGAGCTTCTTAACTTGGAGTTCATGAACTTAAAAAAAAAAGTTTTTGGTAATTTTATTTCAATATGATCAATTTCCTTTGTAATGCTATGTATTTTTTGCATTTAAAATATTTTGAGAAGGGGTCCATAGATTCCACCAGACTACCAAAGTGGTCAATGACACAAAAAAAGATGAAGAAGTTCTTTTTCCTAATGGTTTTCTCTGGCTGCTGGGGAAAGTTGGAGGAATTTGACAGTTACCTGCCCTAAGAAGGATAGAAATCCCTAGGACAAAGAATTTCTCATTTCCACTACTATCTTTAACCATGTATGTACTGTCCTCCATTCTGGGGGAGATGGACAAGGAGAATTGCCTAGTGGGTTGGGAGGGGTCACCCCCTTACTGGGTTGAATGGGGGTAGAGGAAAAATGAGGCTCTACTTTTGCACTTGGCATGTGGACCCTGGTTAAATTCTATAGGGGTGGTAATAGACACACACCCCCACTGGTGACTGCTCAGTTTTTCCCCCAAGAGGCTGGGGCTGCAGTCATTCCCACCCCTTACTCCTGCCTTCCCTTTAGGCTGTTTGTTCTCAGTCTCATTATTGCATAACTCTGGTTAATGTGTGATTTCTTGAGTTCCCTTCAGTTCAGTGGAGTCCTCCCTCCAAGTGGGGAGGTGGGATAGGGGGATAGAATAGGGTCACAGGAAGGGGGGACTACAGCTGTATTCTGAGAGGTTTCAGCTCCTCTCTGGGTCCCGGTGCTCCTGTCTGCAGAATGAGCAGATTCAGAAATGGATCTGGGTCTGTCTTGTGGCTGTGAGCTTAAGAAATCAGGCCCCGGGGATAACAGAAATCAGACTCCTGCCACCCCAAAAATATCCTCTAAAGGGAGGAGCCCTAAGAGGGGTGACTGAACCACCCTTGTCTCCCCCAACATGATTGTGATGAATTTTAGATCGGCAGACACAAGGATGGTAGGCGGGTGTAGAGCCCAGTGTATTTCTAAATCATGAGGATGGCATATGCATATGAATGCATGTGTGCTCACACGTGTCAGGATGTGCACGTGTTCACGGGCCATGGCGAGGAGAGGGGAAGGTGAGGGGCAGCCCCTCCTGAAACTGCTCCTTATTTATCTGCCATATCCTCCCCTCAAGCCCCGCCTAAGCCTGGGCAGACTTCCCAGCCTGGCCCTGACCCAGATGGTGTGGGCAGACACTGGCCTCTTGGCCCCGCCTCTTTCTGGTGACTGCCCCCTTCTTCCAGAGTCCCAGGCAATGGAAGTAACAGATCCTTCCTCCCTACAATTTGCAGATGCCCCCCAGGAAAGGCTGGGCTGGATGAAGTCATGGCTGCTGCAGTCCTTACCAGCTTGTCTACTAGCCCGCTGATTTTGGGTCCCCCTTCAGTACCCTTCAGCCCAGGTAATGATTAGGGTACTTTCTGCTGGGGCAGGATGGTGGTGGTGGTGGTAGTGGTGGGATGAGAGGAAGTGGGGAAGATAAAGAAGTTCAAGTACAGGCTGGGGTCCTAGCCAGGAGATACCATTCTAGCCCCACTGGTCTATTCTAGGAGTGGTATCCTTTGAGGGGTGGGCACTGCTGTGTCGTGGTATCCCTACCTGATCTTGGGACACAGGATCTTCCTCTCTTCATTCCTTCTGGCAGAGTCTTGCTGTGATCCTTGGAAGGAGTCCTCAGCTGGACCGTCTGGCAGCTACAGCAGCAGCAACAACAGTGGGGACTGGGGTTGGGACCCTCCCAGTGACCAGTCTTCTCCCTCCACACCCTCACCGCCACTGCCCCCTGAGGCTGCCCATTTTCTGTTCGGGGACCCCACACCTCGGAAGAGGAAGGTGAGCAGGGCTCAGAGGAGTGGTGGGGGAGGTTGGGAGAGGAGAGAAGAAGTGGGATGGGATGAGGAGTGAGTCCCTCAGATCTGACGACATTTCTCTTCCCAGAATTCGGTGAAAGTGATGTTCAAGTGCCTGTGGAAGAGCTGTGGGAAAGTGCTGAGCACATCATCTGGAATACAGAAGCATATCCGAACAGTGCACCTGGGGTATGATCAGGAGTGGGGGGAAGGGAGGGCTGGCTGGCGTGGCCTGTGGGAACAGGACATTCTAATGCTCACACACAGCACACATCCCAGGCCAGCATGCCTTGGCTCTGTCTTTCTGCTTCCAGAGGGCCTGGTCTGGGCATTCCAGGCTGACCTCTGACCCTGTCCCCACTCAGGCGTCGGGCAGAGCCAGATCAAAGTGATGGTGAAGAAGATTTCTACTACACTGAGCTGGACATCAATGTGGATTCACTAACTGATGGCCTGTCTAGCCTGACCCCCATGTCACCAACTTCCTCAGTGCCCCCAGCCTTCCCCAGCTTGGATCTGCCAGTCCCAGCTCCATCTGAGACCACAGCCATGCCCACCATCCTGAGCTCTGTGGTTCCCACCACTTTGTGCCATGTCCACACCGACCATGCTTACCAGGTACGATGAACGAGTACTTCAGCTGTGGCTCTTCTCCCACCTTCTTTGGAAAGGGTGGTGGAGGATAAACTGATATATTTTTTATCCAGGGCTGTTTGACTCCAGTCCATTCAGTTGGGATATCGGATAAGGGGCCACAACTTCCCCAATCCACAGTCATCAAGCCCCCTGTACCAACCATATCCTCTGGCCTCAAACCCAGCACAGGCATAAGGTAAGTGCTGGCTGGATCAGGGGAAGGCTTGGCATGGGGAGGGGGGAAGAGAGCCCCCCTTCGCTTCCAGCTGTAGCTCTTCATAGGATCATGGAGTTGGTGCTGGATCATCTGTTCCAAGCCCCCTGTCCTGTTGCCTCCTCCCCTCCGTTTACACACAAGAAAGAGAGGGCCACAGATGTTAGAAGGCTTGCCAAGATTACAGAGCTAGTAGGCAGCAGGGTTGGGATTCAAATCCAGCTCCTTTGTGCGGTGTTAAATTTAGTGACCTGCTGAGCAATAGACTCAGTAAATATTTACTGATAGCTCTTGTGTGCTTAGGCCTCTGCTGGGATATGGGGGCCAGCGGCAGCAGATATGGTAGTCACAGTGTTGGGGGAGCCCATGTTCTGTTTGGAGAGAGATGCTTCATGAACTTGGAACAATTAGGCAAGGGTATAGTGGATAGAGCACCGGCCCTGGAGTCAGGGGGATCCAAGTTCAAATCTTGCGTCAGACACTTAACAGTTACTAGCTGTATGACCCTGGGCAAGTCACTTAACCGCCATTGCCTCATCAAAAAAATTAGGGAAGGGTGAAGAGCTCAGTTAAAAATTAAACCATATGGTATAAATAGTTTTAAAAGTTCATCTTTGTGGACTAGTAATCAAGGAATAATATTTACCTGCATTTCTGTAACAGCAGCTAACATACAATGCCTTAAAGTTTGCAAAGTATTTTGCATATTTTATGTGATAATCACAGGAACCCTTTGAGGTAGATGCTATTATTATCTACCTTTGATGTGAAATTGATACTGAGAGAAATTATGTGACTTGTCCAGGGTCAAACAGCTTGTAAACAATCTTAGGCAGGATTTGAATTTGGTTCTTCCTAACTCCAAGGTTATCCACTCTCCCAGGCTGCCTCCCTTCTATAATGGTACTTTAAGTTCAAAGCAGTGTCTCAAAAACTCTGGGTTGGGTAGTATAAATACTATTACTGTTTTACAGATGAAGAAACCAAGGATATGAGAAATAAAGTAATTTGCCTCTGATCACATACTTAACAGGTGTTAGAGTCAGGATTTGAACCCAGGGCCTCCTGATTTGAAGCAGCCTTTCCGCAGCATCCGGTAGTGACTTTCAGGAGATGAGGCAGGAGCCAGGCCCTGCAGGTAGAATTGGGGCAGAAGGAGAGGAGAAAGGACGTGTTAGGGAAGCCGAAGTATATCTCCTAATCCTGATGAGTAAGGTAGATACACAGTGAGGTCGGAGGCCAAGTTGTTACCAGTTTGGGGAGGATGGAAGAGAAATAAATTTGGAGGCATTGCTGCCCCTAAATCGGTATCCAGATAGTCTTGTGGAGCTCACTGTGTGGGGGAAATGAGGAAGAGACCCAGGGCCCTCCTGTTAGGGTCTTCCTAGTTCAGCTGAAGAGGGGCCCAGAGGAGAGACCAAGATTGTTCACGTGATTGTGTAGACAAGGGAAGCCTGTCTCCTGGGACCAAGCTTCAGAGACACCTTGGGGTTTGGGAGCCTCAACTTGCCCCATCCTTCCCCAGGAAGCCTCGGGGTGAAGCCAAGAAGTGCCGGAAGGTGTATGGGATGGAGAACCGGGACATGTGGTGCACGGCCTGTCGCTGGAAGAAGGCCTGTCAGCGGTTCCTTGATTGAAGCCCAGCTTGTTCCAGCCCTCCCCCCAGCCCCATTTCTTGCACAGTTTGCACTGCAGGTGCCTTGAAATCCCCGCCCTGACTGGGAGGCTGTTCCCTTCTCTCGTGACTTGGGGGCAGCTCTTCTCCCCAACCCCTGTGGGGTCTCCAGAAGGCCCTTCGTCCCGCTGAGGATAGGCGGCACAGCCTCTGAACTCGGCCCCCCTGCTTTTTTTTAAAAAAGGAAATAAGCTATTGTTCTCTTTCCCCTCCCCTCCCACAAAAGGGCAGGTGGTTTGGAGGTGGTGCCCCGAGAGGATTCCTTCTCTCCCCTCCCCTTACTTCTCCCCCCAGCCGCGTTTGCACGTGTGGGCGGGGATGTCTGTGACAACTCAAAAGTGCCTGAGGAAACCAGCAGTTTGCACTAAAACGCTGAGGGGTCGTGCCCGGCCCCCCTCCCCCACCCTTTCCCTCGGGTGCACAGGTAGCGGGAGGCAGCGAAGCTGTGGACCCCGGCCAAAGGAGCCTGACTCGGCTCGGACACTCGCCCTGCCCGCATGTGACCGTGATCTTCCTTTTGCTTTAGGGGCAAGGAGGGGCTTCCCTTTGCCTCCGTGTACGTGTGTGTCGTGTGTCCTGTGTCTGGTCTGTGTAGTGTGTTACACTCGCTGGTGCCTGACCCTTGAGAGTGGAGTTTCTGAGGCTGCAAGAGCTGGACTTTGCAAAAGGAGACTGGGTGTGGGCGTAGGCGAGTTAGACAGATCTGTTTTTAAAGATTTTAACACCTTCGCGCGGGTGACTCGCGGCGGGGCGCGGAGGCGGGAGTCTGGCCCCACCTCCGTTCCCGGGGCCCCGCCTCCCTCCGCCCCTCCTCCGGGCCTGAAACCGGGGAGGGACCGCGTAGCTGCCTCCAGCCCACGGCCCCAGGGATTCCAGCTGCGCTCTCCGCCCACGCTTGGAGCCTCTGGCGCTTGCTCCGGGCCTGGGGAGGGACTAGTTGCGGGGGCCGAAGCTGGCTGGAGGCTCCGAGTGTCCAGTCCCCGCCTCCCCGAGAGGGACAGTGTCCAATGCACTTTGAAGGGGAGCCTGGAGAGGGCTCCCTTCTTGGGGCATCTCTCCCGTGCTCCCTCCCCACTCCCTGCCCCGCCCCCTTGGGGGCGCTCGGCCTGGGCCCTAGGATCGGGAATCACATTCCAAACTTCTTTTTTTGCAAACCGGTTTTCTTGAAACTTTTTCCAGCTAAACTAACGACGTTAGGTCTTCACTGAGAGGTTGAAGGGAAAGAAAATTGCACTGTCCGCGGGGTCCCCTCCGGCTCCTGTTCCTGGCTGGGTTGGCGGGGTGGGGTCGTGTGGACACTATCACGTAGGAGAAGCTCAGGTCTCTCGCTTTTGGCCCTCTTGGACACAGCTGTATCAGGGCGAGAAAAGAAAGTAAAGTGTTTTCGGTGTTTTTTTTTTTCCAGAAGTTGTCTGGGTTTCGGTTTATTTCGCACAAAAAAGGGGGGAGGCAGGGGCCTAAGCTTGTGGCTGGGGCTGGTCACGTGGGAGTGCGCGTGCCCCGCCCAGGGCCCCTAGTCTGGGAGCGCGGCCCTTCGCTTCCCTCTGCTGGTCGGTTCTGCGCTGTGTGTTACTCGTTTGCTGGCCCGCTGGCCTGGGCCCAGCTGACTGCCCATTCCAAGGAATACTCAGGTCTCCAGGTCTCCCGCACTCCCTAGGTTATGAAGTTTATTGGTCCAGGACAAGCCAGTGATGGGGGGCCAAGAGCTATGCTGAACGGGGATGATTGTGCCGCATTCTTATCTGCCACTCTTCCTATGGAATATCAGCCCCAATTCTTGAAAATTGGTTAAGTGATAACTTCCACTTGTCATTCAGCTCATCCATCATTTTAAAGAACAGCCGTTCTAATTAGAGCAAGGCATTACCGTGTAGCCGCAGCTCAGTCATCCGTGGCCACCCCCTCTCTCCCTAGGGACCGGAGATAAAAGGATATTTGTTTATAAGATGGTGTGCTTGTTCTGGCCATTAGACAATCCTACAATCTTTACTACCTACTGAGTTTAGCAAGAAGGCAAGATGGGAATCCAAGGAATTCGAAGGCTGGAGTTGGACAAGTCTGAGCCTTTAAGCTTAGAGAGGATCTTTGGGTTGAGAACTGAAGGGATTCACTGACTCGGTCCCTCTGATATGGTCCACCACATCTAGTGCCTAAGAAACAGGGAAAGGGGTGAACGCTGCCTTATTTTTGGCCAGGTTATGACCCCTTTCCAGATGAAGATGAAAGACTAGATTTTAGTGGTCACCCCGTCCAAATCCCTCATTTTACAGATGAGGGAACTGACAGGTATAATTTACTAAAAGTCATAAAGTGTGAGAGGTAGGATTCAAACCCAGCCCTTTTGACTGCAAATACGGCACTCCCCTGAATGTGGGTATGCAGAGATGTTAATTAAACCCATGGGAACTGGTGAGATCAGTAAGGTTAGAGAAGAGGTTCCACGATGGAGCTTTAAGGGACACCCATGTATTTAACGAAGACCGAGTAGTCAGAGACAAAAGGGAAAAAAATCTCACACTATTTATACCCTTGCCACTGCCGCTGCCTTCTCCTCCGCCTCTCCCTCTCCCTCTCCCTCCTCCTTTTCTAAGTCCTCCTTCCCTCCCCGCCCCCTGCTCCTCCCTCCACCCCTTCTCCTTTCCTCTCCTCTTCCTCCCACTAGATGGCATTCTCTCCTTTCAAAGCTCTGCTGAGAAGGTAATTCCTCTAAGAAATGTGCAAACGCTTTGGCTCTAGCCTGAGTTTAGGGTCCCCTTCCTTTTGTTCACTCACAGGGATTTAGAACAGTCAAAGTCAATGAATGAAACTCTGAAATAAACTCAGACAAAAAAATTTTTTAGCAGCAATTTCCTGATTTATTGAAACCGATCCATTTTGCAAGTATGTCTAAGCTAATCCCATCACATAAAGTAAATAGAATTTCTAGGCACACCTTTGGCATGCCTACACAGACAAGAAACTGTGAGATCAACTAGAAAATAAAGTCATATTTACCTGTACTACAGTTACAGAAAATCAGTACAACACACAGTCATGTTTTCCCACTGACTTCTGGTTACTAAAATCTTTCCCCCCAAATATTAAACACATCTCCAATACAAACACAGGTTTATAATAATTAATATAAAGTCAGTATAATATAGAATATTCCCAGCAAAAAATCAATAATCTTCAAACACTTCAAACACTGCCCTTTTTGTCTCTTGTTTGACAACAGGTTGAAAGCAGGTTGAAAAAATAAATATATATGAAAAGCATACGCACAGCACTCTCACTACAGTTGGTTCTAAAAAGGGCAGCATCTCAAACACAATATAGGATAGATTTAAAAGTAAAAAGAACCATCAGTATGGCTTTAAGAGTTGCACATGTCACAAAATGAGCTAAAACAAGATTATCTTTAATAATATTGCAAAAAATTCCAGTTTTTGCATTCTTCTTGGAGTTTTCTTTTAAAAAGGAAGATGTGCAAAATTGGAAGCATTAAGGTGTGTCTTTTTAGCCGAGGTCCTATTGAAAGATGGCAGTGTTCTGACTGTATCCTATAACCCAGAGAGAGAGAGCCCAAATATACAACTTTGTCAGGATCCAGAGTTTGATACATAAATCATATAGTTAAAAAAAAAAAAAAGAAAGATGACCTTCAAATATTTTCCATTTTGGAAACACAAAAAAAGCAATTAAAAAATACAAATTGTGAAATGTAATCTACACTGTTTTCCTTTTCATAAAAAAATATTTCTTTATTAGCTTAAACATTGATTTTAAAAAAAGGTCTGTCACTTAAAAAAAGCAAAACAACTTCATTACATAATATCCCTTCTCCCCCTCCTAGGCCTCTCTATGATATGAGTATGTTGGGTTCATACCTCACACTTTAAAATTCAGAGTATTGGGGCAACGAGGTGGTGCAGTGAATAGAGCACCGGCCCTGAAGTCAGGAGGACCTGAGTTCAAATCCGGCCTCAGACCAAACACTTGACGTACTAGCTGTGTGACCTTGGGCAAGTCACTTAACCCCCGATTGCCTCACTAAAAAAAAAAAAAAAATTCAGAGTATTCCAAATAGGAAACTGCATATATTAGTCACTAATTTATATTCAAAAAACACTTTAAGGGTACTTGGCAGGAGGGGAAATCCAGAACCTAAATTTACCTATTCACTATTCTTTTAAAAAAAAAAAAAAAAAGAGGAAAAAACCTTTCATACATTACGGCACAAATGGCTAACCCGAGAGACAGGCTACTAAGGGCAGTTTGGAGAGAATCAGCAGTATTTAAAAAAATAAAATAAAATAAAAACACAGAAAAGCAAAGTATCCTGAGCTTGGAGAGACACAAAGAATTGGAGCTGGAGAAGAATTCCTCAGCTATGTGCAAAGTGACCACCAGAAAATGAGGCAGTCCCCAGCCATCATATTTTATCAAAAGGTGGTTAGAGCAGACCCCAACCTGAAAGAGGCTGGGAAATTGATACAAAACTGAGAAGGCTGAACCAGGAAATTCCCATTGGTAGCAAAGATCTTGTTTCCAAATGTATTTTCTAAGAAACTAAGTCTGTATTTAGAAAAGCAGTTAAAAAAGGGACCTTTCAATGAAAGGTTCAAAGTTCTCAGAGAGGTACAAAAGGTGAGATGTGATTAAGTTTCTTGAGTTCAAGCCAAACTTGAGAGAAGAAAAAAATTAGCTTAGTACTAAGACTATTCCTGGTAAATAGGGAAAGAAACTAAGCCCTTCAAAGAAATTTAAAAAACAAAAAATGAAAACACAACACCAATTCAAACGCAGAGCAAGAGAAGAAGCTGCAAGTTAGATGCCAAGAGTTCAGGCCATGGAGCCCCTGGTTCCTTTCATTCCATATTCCTGTTCACAGAAAAATCTTCAGTCTCCATTTTTCTTCACAGACTCTAGTTTGAATAAAGGACAGCAGAGTTTCCAACTAAGTGATATTTACACTCCTAATTAAAGCAGCTGATAAAGTTGTATAGAGAGTACCCTCTTCTACTTTACAGAAACTATTACTGATTTTACATAAAAAATACCCAGGATTTCTGCCCTATGGGGTAATATTTTAGAAAATGATACCTGAATTCTTTGCATTTCCAAATCTGCACACCTCCATCAAAAACAACGCACTTAAAGTCTATATCACATATAAGAATGATTTATTTGGTTTATATACTCAGTGTTAGTAATATAGAAGCATGTGCTATATCATTTTATCATTATAACTATAACAAGTTAGCCTTTTTGTGGGTTTTCTCTCTCTCTCTCTTTTTTTGCTTCCTTTGCCTAAAGAGCATAGAAGTGGCACAATTAGAACAGGTTTGTACTGTCCATGGAAAAAAAGACAAAAAGCAATATAAAACACTTCTAAATCAACACAAAGTAAAGCTCAGCACCCCCAAAAGTCTTCATACAAAATCAAGTTCACTCTAGAGAGGAAGGGAACAAAAGTCAGCCCAGGATCCAACTTTCATCCCTTAAAACACAATAGCTTAAGGTAGTAAATCTCTACACTGAAGTCAAGTTGGATGAAAGTTGTGGAATGTCTTAGAAACCGAAGTGTTTTTAAAAATAGCTTTAATATAGAAAAAGCCACGATATAGCCATTTTTAAAAGTACTGTTTGCATTGGTCTGGATGCAACAGATGTCCTCTAGAAGAATAGGGAAAAGGAAGTTGTACTTACAGGATCCCAGGCAAACGATGCCATGCAGAGCCACCTTATGCAGCTCAGGAGACCAAGAAGCACTGGGCTTGGGCTGAGTTGGAACTCTTATACAGTGCACAGGATGAGTGATTGTGTTTTGCACTTATCAAAAAAAAAAAAAAAAAAAAGCAAAAAGGTGCAATTTGTGGCTTCATTTGAAAAAAAAATTCAGCAATTGGCTTTTCAACAAACTAAATGCCAAACAGCTTTGTACAGATTTGTCAAAGAAAAACAACCAACCACAAACGTAACAGTTTGATATGCCTACTACAAACATCATTCCTTGACTACTCAAAAAAACATAGTTACCCATTTTGGAAGGTTTAAGCAGCAAACTGCAGATAGGTTTGTCAATTCATCATGTTAGCAGCAATAAAGAAAGCGATCCCAGACTTTGGCTCAGAGTAATAGGGGCTATCAGTAGCAGTGGTTTAGAAGATTAGCCCGTGTGATCCCCTTCCACCAAAGTCAACTGATAGCAGCTCTAGCCCGAGTTGAGGGAACTCTTCAGCCCAATAATGCAGGCTTGCTGTGGATAGAGCCCCAGTGTTGCACAAAGCTTGCCCGAGGTCCAGAAGGAAGCACGAGTAGGAAAACTGATGAACACTTCTTCAAAGAGGAACTAAGAGTGGCTGTGGATTAACAGGGTGGCATGGAGCTGAGGGTAGGAAGCCCAAAGGGCCACTTCTCCAAGTATGGGTGAGGTGGAGACATCCACATTACCCTGCTCACTTGAAAAGAGATGCTTGGCACGAAGCCGTCAAAATCCCCAAGCACTATTAGATTGAAAATCTTCCCCATGGCCCAAGAAGGCCTATTTTAAATGAATGAAATCATGAGATCTTTTGACACTTTCACAAGCATTTTGCCTCTCCCATTATGGAAAATAGCACCTTTGAATCATTTGGCTTACCGGGTTACACCGGGATTATGGTGGCAGGTTTCAGGATGGCCCCACGGCTGCCATTTATGCTGTATAAAAACAGTGAGGTCTTCAACTTGGAGTGTTGTTTTGTTTTCAGCACCAAAGCACAGAGGTGAGAGGTTCAGCAGAGCCTTTCTTCCTTGTACAACAGGACACTTATTTTCTGAAACTTGTCAGAGGAAGGCATCAGGCTGAGAAGGGAAGAGTGAGCTGACAACCACATGGAATAAAACTGAGGAAAGTCTTCTCCATTAGACAGAGGGGACATCCAGGGCCTGGAGTCAGGCTCTGCTGGGAAAGAGAGGTTTGGAAGGAACCAAAACTGGCCCCTGAGTAGGCTTATCTGGTTAACAAAGTACCAGGATTAATCTCCTTTGAAGCATGGAGCTGGAATGGTGCAGGTTAGCCACAAAGGTCAAGATAGACATCCTAGCCATTTTCGTTTCCATTTTTTAAATGTCTTCAATTGGTCAGAATTTGCATATACCTACAAAAGGGAGGGCAGGAGGTAAAAGAAGAGAATGGGAACCAGATTCATGTAAACCAACCGAGAGCTGGCTGATCTCACTCCAAGGCCAGAAATGATTTTGTACCTCCTAGGAGATCACACTGTATCTGGAACACAGAGTTAGGTACAGCTATAAACAGTGGGGTTAGTAACCCCAGGCCCTGGAGAGCCAAACCCACCCCCACCCCCAGAAAACCAAACTTGTGTAGGTTGTAACTGTGCTAGCCAAGTTTCTCCACCAAAAAAAAAAAAAAGAAAAAAACCAGTTACTACAGGTTTGCCTTGCAAAATGAACACAGAAGGGTTGGGGAGGCCATCTGTACTGGTTGGTTTACATGGATTGATAAGCACACTCACTACTGCTGGAATTTTTATTAATTACTTTGGATAGAAGCCATCCCCTTATCCCTTGGTGTTTGATTTAAGGTAGAGAAAGTTTGGAAAAAAAAAAAAAAGCACATGCCTTTAAAAATATTTCCCTTTCCCCACTTCTCACTCCATTCACAAAGCTCATCTCTTCAGAAATAAAGTCACTTGCATGCAATTGGATTTGCTTCCATATTGAGGCAAAGGCAGATTTAAGGGGTGAGGGAGAAGAGAAGGAGCCCTAGAAGTAATGGGAAAGAAGCTGGGAAGGTAGGGAGAAGGGATGATAAAATTTGCCACTCAAAGTGGCCTTAACTAATAGCTGAATTAAACAGTTAAAGGACTTACATTTGTTGAAATAAAACAAAAACAAACAAAACTTACACACGTGGACAACAACAAGGCTTCTTTGCTTTTCCACACTCTCCTTCCTTCTTTCCTCCCTCCCCTCCCCTTGACCCCAAAAAACAGTTCCCTACGAAATCCAGGTAAAATCCTTGTCATGTTCCCCAGAATTCTCATGTTCCTGGGGGGAGTCAACGTCCTCTTTGTCATCTTCTAAAATCACATCATCCTGGGAAATACCAACATCATCTTTCCACTTGATTTCATCGTCATCACCTAACTCCTCGTCACCCTCCACTTTGATGTCATCGGGATCCTCCATATACTGACTTTCTCCAGGGTACATTTCATCTGGAGAACCTTCTCCTCCATTCTGATCCAAGTGTCCAGGGATGCCTTGGCCTGAGCAATCGGTGCACACTCCATGGCGGCGGGAACCATGTTTGATTCCCACACTAGCCGCAGACATAAATACTCGGTTACACACTTTGCACACATATTTTTTGTCTTTACTGTGAACCTGGACAAAAAGAAAGGGATGCATGAGTCAATTCAGGAGAAGGAAGGGCCCCACGTTGTTTTCTGAAGCAAATTCTGTTGTAAAGAATATAATAGCTCAGGAAATAGTACCTGATTATTTAATAATCCAGGGATCATTAAGCACCAGGTCCAAAATTAATGAAAAATACATTCACACATGGCAATTTAGGTGGCTCAGTGGATACAGTGCTGGGCCTGGAGTCAGGAAGACCTGAGTTCAAATCCAGCCTCAGACACTTACTGTGCGACCCTGGGGAAGTCACTTAATCTGTTTGCCTCAGTTTCCTCATCTATAAAATGATCTGGAGAAGGAAATGGCAAACCACTCCAGTATCTTTGCCAAGAAAACTCCCATTGGGGTCATGAAGAGTCAACACAACTCAAACAATAGAACAACAACATATTCACACAAAATTATGGATTCCACATCCCCTAGGCCAGTTCCTTTTACTACTGAATCACTGAGTTTGCTCTGAATCTGTGGTTCATTTAACTTTTTAGTCAATCTATCAACATGTCTGTCAATTGTACTAGAAGCCAGCTCAAATCAGCTCATGAGAGCCAACTGTTAAACTTTCAATGTGAGCATTTACAATTTGGAGATGAGCAAATGCCATACATCAAGGCTTGATTTATTATTCTGATGATTTCTGGACTTAGAAAAGTGATGGAGAAAATATTAAGAACACAGATTATACTTAGAACTGTTATCATGTATACATTTTTTTTTCCTGGAAAGCCAGTTGTTTTTGTTTGTTTGTTTTTGTTTGTTTGTTTTTAGGCAGTTGGAGTTAAGTGACTTGCCCAGGGTCACACAGCTAGTAAGGGTCAAGTGTTTGGTCTGAGGCTGGATTTGAACTCAGGTACTCCTGACTTCAGGGCCGGTGTTCTATCCACTGCACCTCCTAGCTGCCCCTGGAAAGCCAGTTGTTAAAACATTCATTTGCACACTTCTACTGTAAAGGTCAGAGAAGTAAAAAAACATGGTCCCTGTCTTCAATCAAGGTGGAAAGATTAAGAGTAGCACATTTTTAATGAAAAGAATTTGCACTTATCAAATTATGTCATAAGCAATAAATTCCCAGATAACATCTTTATTATGTTAAAACCTATATCTGAAATAAACTGGGCACACTAAAACCTTCTCTGACATATACTGTTTCGTTTCAGAAAATTTTACTTTACTCTGAATTGACAACCCTTGGTCCTATAAGCCACATACCAGATGATAGGGAAAGAATATTTGATCTATCAATCAATTAATGAACATTTGTTAAGCATCTACTACTTAGCAGGTACTGTGCCAAGTACTGGGGATACAAATACCAAAAAAATGAACCAATCCCTACTCTCAAGTACACGACATTTTATCAAGAGAGATAACTTTTACAGATATAAGCACAGACAGAATAAACACAAAATAAATTCTAGGTAATTAAATACTGTGTAGATAGGGAGGGAGGGCAGTAGTACTGTTGGTATCAGGAAAGGCTTCATATAGAAGATGGGGCCCAAGCTGCGTCCTGAAGGAAGAAAAGGATTCAGTGGGGTAGAGGTGAGAAGATGCATTTCAGGCATGGGAAATCAGGGACATGGAGTGCTTCATGTAAGGGACAGAGAGAAGGCTAGTATGGCTAGACTGCAGAGTACAGGAAGGGAAGTGAGGTAGGAGGAGGCTGGGAAGAGAAGATGAGACCGAGGTTTTGAAGAGCTTTCCAAATCAAACAGTGAAGCCTATATTTTATTCAAGAGGCCATAGGGAGTGATTGGAGTTTATTTAGTAAGACAATTATATGGCCAGACCTACACTTAAGGAAAATCAATGAACAGCCAGGTGGAGGACGGATTTGAGTGGAGAGAGATGAGGCAGGGAGATGAATCAGGAGGCCATTGTAAGAGACTAGACAATAGTTGATGAAGGCCAGAATTGAGGTGGAGGCTGTGTGAGCAGAGATATCTTTGGAGGAGGTTAAGGGGGTTGAAGGAAAGTGAAGTATCAAGGATAGTGCTGAGTTTGGGAACCTGGGAGACTGGATGAAAAGTGATGCCTCTGACAAGAACAGAGAAGTCTGAAGAGTGAGATTTGAAGGAAAGAGAATGAGTTCTGTTTTAGACATGTTGAGTTTAAGATGAATCTGAGACATCTAGTTTGAAATATTTAATAGGCAGTTGATGATGTCGGATTGAAGCTCAGGGGAGAGATTGGGGCTGGACATACAGATGTGTGAGTCATCTGTCTAGAGATGACAATTAAATTCATGGGAGCTGTTGGGTTTGTCAAGAGAGAGAATGTAGAGAAGAGGGCCTATGAGAGAGCCTTGGGGAACACCCAGAGTTACAAGGTGTAATTTGGAAGATGAGCCAGCAAAGGTGACAGGAATTTTCAAATGAAAACCAAAACCAAAAATCCATAGAGGAAAAAATATCCAGAAATTAGGGTAGATAAAAGATAGATTGAAAATTGGTTGACAACCCAAAAGATAAATCATTAATGGTTCCATGACAAGTAAGAAGGAAGTCTTCATCGGAGTGCCCTAGGGATCTGCAATGGAATTGAACAAGCATTTATAAAGCACCTACTATGTTCCAGGCACTGTGCTAAGCACTTTACAAATATTATCTTATTTGATTCTCACAATAACCCTGTGAGATAAGAATGATTATTATCCCTATTTTTACAGTTGAGGAAACTGTGGCAGAAAGAGATTAAGTGACTTGCTGGGGGTCACACAGCTAGTGTCTGAGGCTAGATTTGAATTCAGGTCTTCCGGACTCTAGGCCCAGCAGCACTGTATCCCCTGCACCACCTAGCTGCCTCTGTTCTGGGCCTTGTGCTAGTTCACATTTTAATTAAATATCTAGGGTAAGGTAAAGATGGAATCTTTATCAAATTGGCAGATGACATGACGCTAGAAGGGTTGCTAACACACACAATTATAGAATCATAAATTTAAAGCCAGATGTCATCTAGTTGAACTCCTTAATTAAATTAAATTTTATGTATTTTAATTTTTTTATTTTATTAATTTTTTTAAAAATCTCCTTCATTTTTAGATGAAGAAGATGAGACCCAGAGAAGGTCTCAGATGAGACCCAGATGAGGTCCCAGAGAAGGGACATGACCAGCATCACACAGCTAGCAAGTAGGAAAAGAAGTATTTCAACTGAGACCCTGTCCTGACAAATCCAGCACACTTTCCACTATGCCAATTTGCATCCTTAATGATGTGAGTAAGCGTTCAAAAAGAACTTGGCAAGCTAAAATTGCCAATAGAATAAAATGAAATTTAATAGGGATAAACATAAAGTCTTATACTGGGGTTCAACAAATCAATTCCAAAAGTTCAAGATTCAGGAAACAAAGTTAGTAGTTTGTCTGAAAAAGATTTGGGAATTTTATTGGACTACAAGCTCAATAAGTCAACATGGCAGTGATATGGCAGCCAAAAAAGCTAATTAAATCTTGGGTTGTTTGATGAGAAGCATGGCTTCTGGGAAGAAATAGAAGATAATCCCTCCATACTTTGGCCTCATCAGACCACATATAGGGCATTCTATTTACTTCTAAACATGGCATTTTAGAATGAACATTAATAAACTCATGAGCTACCAGAGTGGTTAAGTCATTGAAGTCCTTTCCAACTCTAAAATTCTATAAACTCACTAAACTGGAAGTTCCATGAGGGCATAAATCACTTTAACTCTTAAGTCTATAATCCTTTGTCTTATCTAAATTTATCTGCCTTATATAGATCTAGCATAGAGCTCTGCTTATAGTAATTATTTAATATTTAAATTTAATAAATACTTGAATTAATACTCATTATAAGGGCCAAGATAGAATATAGTCATTAAAATGAGGTTCTACTCATATTCGAATAGTTACAAATCACAAGGGAGACTTGCTTGGGACTGACCATTTGTGCTCAAATACAATGGAGAGCAAGAATTCCCAAGCAGCAAAAAGTGAAGGGCCTATATTAAAAATAGCCCCATGTTCAAGCTACAATTAAACCCTAAAGCTTGTCTATGACTAGGCCTAAAACCACTCAGAGACTGCAACACAGAATGGTATACAATTGGAGGTTACAGATAACACTGCCAAATAGGATGTCATGCAATTAACTTCTTTTTAACTTGGGGAAGTCAACCTTGTGTTGGGGAAAAGTACTAACCACTTTCCCTACATGGGAAGGTGAACGAAAGTAAAACTTTAGGCTGGTAAAAGAATTCTCTGTAAAAAACACAGGTGGTATTCATAACAGTGAGGACCAGCTCACTACCACCTCACATTCTGTTGCCTTAAGGATATGCTGCTAGAGTCCAGCAATACTACCAGGTAAGGGAGAGTTTAACCCCCAAAGGCCTATGATTCATGTTCTCTGCCATAATGGAAATAACTACTTATAATTTAATCTAGATATGGAAGAGACTTGCCAAAGTCATTTGGTACAACCCATGCCTAAGCTGTAATCTCCTACAAAACATCTCTAATAAATGGTCATTTTGCCCCCATGTGAAGATGTTCAGTTAAGGGAATTACCACCTAAGGCAGGCTATTCCATTTTAGGCCAGTTCTAATTATTAGACATTTTTCCTTTTGGTCAACCTAAAATTTGTTTCTCTACGACTATTTCTTATGGCTCCTATTTCTCTCCTAAACTCCAGTCCTACATCAGCAACTACTTACTAGACAGATCCAACTGGGATGCCCTTTAGGCAGCTCAAATTCAGCATGCCCAAAAATGAATTCATTGTCTTTACCCCAAATTCACCCTCTTCCTGACTTCTATGTTTCTGTTGAGGCCTGCACAAATCTTCCACTCATCTAACCTCAGAATCATCCTCAATTCTTTTTTTCACTCTCACTGCTCATATCCAAATCAGTGGCCAGGTCTAGTCAGGTCTACCTCTAAATCTCATGTATGTCCCCTTCTGTCTATTTACATGGCCATCATTCTAGTTCAGGCCTTCATCACC